CGCAACCCCGGGGACGTACTAGTTTGCCGTCCATGGGACCCCGTGCCGTGCGACGAGTGTGTAGCCTGACCCTGCGGCGGGCTGCCCGCATGCACGAGTGGTGGGCTTTCCCTCGTTTGTCCATGCATCGTGTGCACGGTAGAGCGCCGACACCGTGTTAAGCTTAGACTTGTCCATGGACATCAAACAGGAGCTGCTTCCGAAACGCGTGCATTTGCGTTCGAAAGTACTGAAATTGGTCCAAGTAGCGCTGGCGGCCACGGCGAGCTCTCTCGGCTCGCTCGGTCGGCGTCAGCGCCAAGATCGCGTCGACGGCGGCGCAAATGTTCTCGGGGTGGACCATGTACTCCATGCCTTCCCGAAAAAGACCTTCCCGAAAGATGCGGTACCCCTGCGCCATGACTTGTTTTCTATCCACAACGTCAGTGTCCATGAGGCACAGTCGTCCCTACGGGGCGTCGGCCGTCCACAAGTTGCCGTCAATCAACACGCCCGACTCTGCGTCGATCAATTCGTTCATGGGCGCGGCATCCGTGGTTGCTACAAGCGCTCCCGACGCCCGAGCTTGGTTGATGTAGTGGCCAAAACTATCACACTGCAGTCATGCCAACGTCAGAAGGGCAGCGCGGGCCTACCCCTCCATGCCGCTGGGGCACAAAATGACCGGCACCTCCGCCATGAGCTTGCCAAACTCGACCACGTCGACGTCTTGACCCCAGTTGTATCGTAAGTTGGTCACGGGTTTGTCTTTGAAGAACCGGTCAAATGCTTTCTTGCTGTGATCGTCCATGGAGTACACGTCGAGGCGGGGAAAGTCTGGGCGCCGCGACCAGCATTCAAGCAGTTGGTACGTCATTTTCTCGGTGCTACCGTGCGCCATGGCGGCGTGTTCCATGGTCGTGGTCGCGTGTACCTGTGGCCGTTGGCATGGAAGAAACGGAGGTTGGAAAAGTCCCGCGGCGCGATCTGGACGGTCGGCGAGCGGCGCGCAGCTTGCGTCGGGTCCGAAGACACGTGTTGAGTGTAAAACACTTTGGTTCGCCGGGGATTGCCTTCTCTGTCGTACCTAGACCACGATGCGGACGGATGGAGCGGCGCACACGAAGGCAGGGCGGCGTTACCAGGCAGTGATTCGTTGGTACCCGTCGTACGTTTTGGCAAGGACGTAGTCGGCGCGATGGTAATGCGATGCTTTGAGCTCGTACATTTCAACATTCGGCATGAGCACGATCTTTTTGTCCTGCACAACAAGTTTGCCGGTCACAAATCTTGAATGCCATGACGACGCTGGCCGAACGGACGCGGGGAGGAATCGTGGCAAAAGCAACGAAAGAGTGCGCACCGGTGGAAAGTCGGCGAGGTCAGGGATGCCATCAAAGTAGTGGTTCATGAAGAGGAGGGCGGTGTGGGGACACAGGTCAAAGTACTTGATGGTCTTGCCTATATCGACGGTGGAGACATACATCGAGATGAGATGATCGTCAGGACGTCGCTAGCGCAGCACGATATATGATCTACCTTGATGTTGGAGCTCGATATCAAACACCCACCGCGGCAGGACTCTTGTCTTGAGGAACTTGACGTACGCCATGCCTGCGCCATCCTGAGTGACGTGTCGACGACGCGGGAGAGGTAGGGTGCATGTACCATCTTCACAGTACCCGTGGTTGCGCAGACCAGGAGGGAGGTAGATATCAACATCAGGGCATTGCGACAGGAACTGGATCAGAATCGCGTGATCGGTTGTCGAATGGAGAGTCAACGAAGTGTCCACGGCCGTGCTGTTGTACCCGTACGAGATGATCGCTTCCTTCTCGTGAAAACACACTTCATTCAAGTTGTTCAGGTGCAGAATATCCGCCAACACGTCGTACGAGCCGGCGGCAGTCGGCGCTGCCGACGACACTCGTCTGGATTGACCAAATCTGAACGTACGAAGGGCCATGACGAGGCCAACACACCCAGCGGCGTACATAAGCAGTCTTTTCCATCGCTGGGTTCCAAAGAGCGCCACTGGCTTGTCCTAGGGTACTGCATGAGCCCTCCACACCGCGACGCTCCGCACCTTGAATTGCGCCATGGCCGACATGCACCAAGTTCGCAAAGCGCGGGGTCCGGATACGTGAACCACCGGATAACCGCCGTTTATCCGGATATCCACTCCCACCTCGGACGCGACTCACCATGAGCGACAAGGAGCCGCCGGCGACAGCGAACGAGTGCCTGGAGAAGAAGATGCTGTACGACCAGTGCTTTGACGTGTGGTACCGCGACGTCTTCCTTCAGAACAAGAGCCAAGGCAAGTTAGGGTGCCAGGACCTGTACAAGGACTACTCGGCGTGCATTGCCGATGAGCTCCAGCAAGACGGGTCGCTCGTGCAATCCATTCGCGGCGAGATGAACTCGACGCATGCCGGTCGGTGGATTGGAAAGGATTTCCCGACAGATGCCAAGGCAGATAACGTACCCAAGAAGAAGTAGACTGTTCGTCCGACAAGGTCTCCCTCTGGCATGTGCTTGGACTTCGACCGGCGGTGAACCACAACGATCTCCAAGCCGAGCTGGGTGCACGGTCCGCCGTACTTGATCACGAAGTGGTTGACCATGGGGGTAGTGGCATACAAATCGACGTTGCGATTGCAAGAGAGCGTGGGCGCAATCGACTCCGCTGCTCGCTATTGGAATTCCCTGCAGCGTCCGACATCCCACCTGCCGCTCTGCAGAATGAGGCTACCTGGGCAATGACAATTCCAGCTCTGGGCTTGATCGACTTGGTGGCGAGCACCATACTTAGTCGTAGGAGCGCCGCGGGTCCAGTTTCTCGCACAGAGTCGATCAGGCTTTCAGTCATGACGTGGCATGTCGAGTATCGATAGTCCAGCACTGCCTCTAGCACCTCAAGTGGCGCCATGTCGTCTTCGTTGAGCGATTCCATTTGCAGCGCTGCAAATGATGGCGCAGGGCTCCAGTCGGGACTGGAACATTGGCTGCGCTGTGGTGGGTTGGACGACATCTTGCCGCGCCTTTTGAGGTTGCGTGCATCAAGTGGCACGCTACGGCTGTGCCAAGGCTGTGGCCTCACAGACTACCTATTGATGCTATATTGCGCCTGGAAACACTTGCCGATGCAGTCGACAACTTCACGAACGCTGCATGTGCTGAATTTGTTGGTCGAATGCCCCTAAAAATCAAACATGGCCGGCGACAGCCCCGCGGATCACAAGCGCATCATGTCGGGTGCCCATGTTAGAATGCAGGAATAGAGCGCAGGGCGGCGACACCTCCACGTGTGTCATGATGCCGCCGAATAAATAATACATGAGCGCAGCCCGAGGGACCACAAAGATCTGTGCAAGGTTGGGCATATTGTCGCCACGGCAAAGCGTCGTCTGGCGTCTGCGTCGTGTGCGGCATTGGGTCAACGACAAACGAAAGCGCCGAGGAGGCGAGTCTCGCCGCTGCTTCCGCGGTAGTTGGGTGAGCAGATCCACTGCCTTCGTGCAGCCCTTCTCGAGTGCCTTCCACAAGGACAGGTCGCCACGACCCCCTCATGCGTCGTACTCGCGCTCCCTTCGCCAGGCGCGAACACTTCAATCGACCCCCTCCACCCCCATCTCCATGCTCGCCCTCGCACGACACCCAGTTCGCGAGGACAACAAAGCACACGCGCACCGCCGCCGTTGCCGCTACTGCGCGCAAACGATGGGGGCCAGCCAGGTCAACATCGAAGCGCAGGTGTACGTCACGGAGACTATGAAGAGTCGCTCGTCGTGCCTCTGGCTTGGGAGATGGCTTTGGGCCACCGACGAGTCGCCAACCATTGACAGGTCGACGCTGGTGGCGACCCTCTCGTCTCCGTTGTGTTCCTGCTGAGCACGAGCCGAAACCCAAACTACGACTTGAACAACGTGCGATCTCGGCCGACGCACTAGCGTCGGTCGCCTGCCATCATGGCGACCGCGTTTGGCGGCAATTCGAAACGAATCGAGCGATTGTTGACGGCAGCTCTGCATGCATCCCGGCGGCGATTCGTAAGTGAAAGGTTGCTGTGGGCCCGAACGACGACAAGCTTGTCCGTGCGACTCCATGGACGAACGATGAAAAGAAAGGCCCTTCATTCGGGCGATCACGGACGATAGATGCATTGCTCGGCACGCAGTTTAAACTCTCCAACACGAAAACGCACGATGGTCGGATGAAAGTTAAGCTTCTCGGGAAGTGGTCGCGGCCGGTCGCTGGCGCAGGTCGGTCCCATCGACGGGCACACGCGGCACTTGCGATGTGCCTTTGTCCAAGTCGAGGATTTCTTGGATGACCGGGGACATGGGGTACGCGCCGGGGTGATGGCGCGGGTCGCCACGGAAGCCCAAGACGACCAAAAAGACAAAGAAGGCGGCCAGGCCAGCGACGAGCGGGTACTTTTGGACCCACGCGACCGCTTCATCAATGCGATCGAACACATTTGGTTCTTTCGTTTTCGGCTCGGGGGCCGTTGGTTTCTTGGGCTCGGGCTCCATCAACACCGCCTTCTTCTCCGCTTCGTGCTTGGGCAGCCACGTCTGGCGCGCAAACTTTTTCGCGTCGTTCAAGTTGTGGCCGAGCCACAGGTTGTCCACTTGAATGCCTTCGGACATGGACCAGACTTCCACCGCGACAGCTCTAATTCCCATGCGAGTGTGAAAAAATCGTCACGGGCGAGTAGTGCGCGCCGGCGCTGGACGTACCCGATCGGGTCCATGCGGGCCGGATGCGCGTCGTCAAAGTAGTCGGGGTTTGGAATCTTCCGCGGCTCCCATTCCCCGACGTAGTCTGGATTTTCAATCATCGGGGCCACCCACTTGCCACGGTATTCCGGGTTGGTCATCATGGGTTGCTACCTCGTTGCCCGTGAGCCTGCGACCGACGACGACATACGTACCCGCCACGGCCCACGCACGTCGTCGTTCCAGTCTTCCGGCTTGGTGATGCTCAAGTTGGGGATGGTGCGGGGAGCGTCTTCGTCCCAGTCGGCTGGTTTCGAGGCAGCGGGATCCGCGATGAACTCGGTTTCTTCCCACGTGGTCGGCTTGATGTCCGTGGGGTCGTCGATCTCTTTGGGCAAGAGCACAGGTGGCTGAAACAGCGTGTACAAGCTGCCATTCTTGATGATGGTCAGGTCAGCATACATCTCGAACGTATTGTCGTCGTGAATCGCGAGCGTGTACACATGGCTCAGCTTGTCGTTTTTGACCTCGGGGGAAATCTGAAGCTGCTTCTCGTCGTACGTTTTCGTCCGTGGGTTCTGGTGGTTGAAGATAAAGTGCACTTTGTTGTTTTTGTCGCACTTGTCGGGGCCAAACATGATGGAGAACGGCGTCTTGTCATGCAGGTCCGTCACGTCGAGTGTCGGCGAGTCGCGGAGGAGCTTGAGGTACGTGCCAGCGCATTTGACGACTTCGGGGTACTTGACTTCGTACTGCACGACGAGGCTCTTCTTGCCCTTGGACCCGTCCATGAAGAATGGCTCAGGCAGTTTGGCGGCAAACCCGTAATGCTGCGCCTTGTTTTCCATCACGAGCGCCTTGTCGGCGGCATACTTGCCCAGCAACTTGCTGCCCTTCTTGATGCTGATCTTTTGTTCGCGGTACTTCTTCCCGGCGCTCTTCACCCACGTCGTACCTTCAAAGAACGTGGCTGTTGTCGCATTTTGGAACGTTTCGGCCCAGAACGCGCGGTCGGTCGACGGCACAGAGAACGGCGCGTCGGCCGCCGAAACATCGACAGGCGCCCGCGAGGCAGTCTGGTCCTGCGCCACAGCCGCCCCGATCGCAGCGGCAACCATCAGCGACAACCGTACCATGTTGGCAAGAAAAAGTCGGAATGGTCACCAGTCGCGGGATCGCCCTTTGCGACGAAAGGTCGCACCCCTTCAAGATTCTGGTCAACCTCTTGGATCCCATAACTTGTAAAATGCACTATCGTATTTGGACGGTTGATATGCACAACACCTGCTAGAAATAATAACCCTAGATACTTCATTTTGTCAACACCAAAGTCTCCCCACTCTGGAGCGGCAGTTTCAGCAATGGCTCTGGTGGTTTCGTCGAACGTTTACCACGGCGTTCTGGAACGCAAATAGGGGGCGATGGACGAGTGCTTGAGCTGGCATCGTGCGCGAAACCATGCTTAAAAACACGCTGGAGGAGCATGACCTCACGTATACACCGTGTGCGGCGAGATAGACATGCTCCATGTTCGACCGCGCCGTACGAGCAGTCGTCTTCGCATCCCCGCGTGATCACCGAGATGGAAAGCACATTGGGGCAACTGCCTTGGTGCCTAGCAAAGGGTCGAACAATATTAAGCTGCAACAAAGCCCCCGTCCATGAAGGGACAAGCAATATTACGTATGCCCGCGCGATACATGCAATGCGACCTGTGCAAGTACACGAACGACCTTGCCTACACGATGGCGTCCTAGCACTTGCGTCGAGCGACCAAGAGGAACGGCGATGGATTCCCATCGGACTGTAGACTAGCTGTCGTCGTTCACGCGGCTGGCTGTCTGCCGCAGAGATGGTGGCCCACCTTCGTTGACAGCGACTCGCATCCGGAAAGGTCGCGATCTTTATCCGGATGACCTTCTCCGTGCGTTCTCATCAAATATCCCCATGTTCCGGCGAGCGCACCGCGCGGCATCCAAGCGCGCCGACTACATCATTGTCGGCGGCGGATCGGCGGGATGTGTACTGGCCAACCGTCTCTCGAAATCCAACACCGTGCTCTTGGTGGAAGCTGGCCCGAGCGACCGGGGTAAATGGGACTCTTGGAAGATCAAGATGCCCGCCGCCCTCACGTTCAACCTGGCCGATGATAAGTACAATTGGGCGTACAAGACTGTGCCGCAAGCTCATTTGAACAACCGACGGCTGGAATGGCCGCGTGGACGTGTTCTCGGTGGCTCGTCGTCCCTCAATGCGATGGTGTATATCCGAGGCCATGCGCAGGATTACAACGACTGGGAGGCAGCTGGAGCCACGGGATGGAGCTATGCCGACGTTCTCCCGTACTTTAAGCGAGCGCAATGTCACGCGTTGGGTGCAGATACGTACCGCGGAGGGGACGGCCCGCTTCATGTGTCGCGGGGATCGCAGCACGACCAAGTTCTGTTCCAAGCATTCATCGACGCAGGAGTCGAAGCCGGGTACCCCTTCACCGACGACATGAATGGTTTCCAGCAAGAGGGCTTTGGATTTATGGACAGCACGATCCACAACGGAGTGCGGTGGAGTTCGTCCGCGGCGTATTTGCATCCCATCCTGCACGAGCGGAAGGATACCCTCACCGTTGTGACAGATCAACTCGTCCACCGTGTGGTGGTGGACGCCGTGGGTGTAGCTCAAGGCATCGACGTCCAGCCGAACAGATCCAAGTCGAGCGACGTTGAATTCTACCAGGCGGACAAAGAGGTACCGTGATCCGGTGCACGACGGCGTTGACAGAGGGTCTCGCCAGGTCATCGTGTGCGGTGGGGCCGTCAACTCGCCGCAGCTGCTGCTGCTTTCGGGCATCGGTCCCGCCGACGACATTCACGCGGTGGGCATTCCCGTGGTCGAGCACCTCCCGGCTGTGGGCCAGCACCTCGAGGACCATTTGGACTTGTACATTCAATTTGGCGTCACACAGCCCATCACGTTGCACAATGCGACATGGTACACCGCGTCGAGGCGATGCCGTATTCATGCAGTCGTCGTAGGGCGTATCCGCACAAGATGGTCGCGATCGGGCTCGAGTGGGTCGTCAACCAGACCGGAATGGGCGCGTCGGCCCATTTGGAGTCGGGGGGGTTCATTCGAAGGCAAGGCGCTTCCAGCCCCGGACGAACGTCGTCATCATCCTCATGCGACGAGTTGTAGTCGCGCGGGCCTGCGGCAGCCCGACCTCCAGTTTCACTTTTTGCCAGGCGCGCTCACGGGCCAACTCACCCCCGGCAACCAGCACGCGATGCAGACGCATTTGAGCCCGATGCGTGCCACGAGTCGAGGATCGGTCACGTTGGCGTCGGCAAATCCCCGCGATGCGCCTCGGGTCGACCCGAACTACCTCAGCACGACGCAAGACGTTGAAGATATTCGCCGCGGCGTCCTGCTGGCCCAAGAATTGTTTCAGCAAAAAGCGATGGATCCATTCCGAGGCGACCCGATCTCCCCTGCGACCCTCTTTGACGCATCCGACGCGTCGACAATTGATGCATGGGTACGTGGCGGCGTTGAGTGCGTCTGTCGTGGTGGCGGGATGGGATTATTCACGTGCGATTGCTGCAGGTGCGCCAGCATACGGAGAGCGCTTACCATCCGAGCTGCACCGCCCGCATGGGCAGCGACGTCACCACGAGCGTTGTCAATGCCAAGTGCCAGGTCCACGGCATCGATCGCCTGCGGGTGGTGGACGCGTCGATCATGCCCAACATCGTCAGCGGCAACTTGAACGCCCCCGTCATCATGATGGCTGAAAAGGCGGCCGACATGATCCTGGGCAATGCCGCGCTGCCTCCGGCGACCGACGTCCGGGTCTACGTCCCGCCCAACTGGGACACACGTCAGCGGTAGACGGCATGAAAATCCACGAAAGTAAGCGACTCGTTGTCGCGATAAACATGTCGTCGATGCTGCCATGATCTCGAAGCACGGATGCGACCGAGCCAGTCGACTTGCCATGACCCATCCACGTGTGGCGGGGCGACGGTAGAAGACTGTGGATGCGCGCACGTCGCATGCATGGTTTCCATCATCACGATCGTGAGGCCATGCGTGGAGAAGCCTCGACTGGCCTAAACATGCAGCGACAGCATGTTGCATGGTCCTTGCGGATGGAAAACGATTCGCCCATACGAGGCCACGACACACGATGGGGAATGGCGGATTCGACATTACATGAACGAGAACGCCGACTTTTCCGTCGGTGGTGGGGCGGGCGATGGCTGCGCCGCGTTTCGAGGTGAGTTGGCGAGGGTAAATAGATCTTTGCCAAAGTCCCCGAGGTGGCGCGACGCCTCTGGCGGCAGCTGGCGAGGCGGCGACAAGAGAAGCGATGGCTGCGCGTTCAAGCTCAACGGGTCGAGTGCGGTCGTGGTGGGGGTCGGTGCAGCGTTCTTCAGCGGCGAAAAGCTCAAGTCGAGCAAATTCTAGACCCCACGTGAAACCAAGTTGCGACAAACGGGTGGTGCGATCGCTCGTACCGCGGGCGCGACTTGCTGCTGCTGCTGCTGCTGCTGCTGCTGCTGGTGAAATGGCTGCTGAGCAGGGGGCGGGACTGATGGACCGCTCAAGGTCAAGTCATTCATTGCTAGCAAATCCACCGACGCGTGGGGACGCTGCTCGTGGCTGTGCTGGTGCGGTTTGGCCACAGGTTGATGGCTCGCGGCGTCGACGCCAATGAGTTGCAGGACGCGTTTCGCCTTGATAGCGACTGCTGTCTTGGGGTCTTGGGCCACCTGCATGCTCACATGACACACGGTCGAGTCGATCGAGGGAGTACATGTTGCAGCAGCTCGACATTTTCTTCCAGCCACTCGGCGTAGTGCTCGCAGCCGGGGGCGTCCAGCAGCGCTTCCCACACACACAGACCCTTGAGGCGGACCTGCCAGCTGTCATCTTCGAGTTTGTCCAGCAAGAGGTCGCCAAGGATGTTCATGTCGAGCGATTTGGCGAGGTCGACAAATCGGTTCAAGTTTTCGGCGGGCGGCGCGCGCGCGAGGCCTCCAGGAGGACACAGATCATCGATCAAGCTGCGCTCGTACTCCCTACGCATGCCACCACGACAAACATGCCTCTGATGAGGTCGCCCAGCCGATACCAGTTGAACGATACATCGATCATCACGGCAGGACGACGGTCCACACTGCCAACTAAAAACCAGCATAAGCCACCTACCCACTCTTGTCCGAGCTACCCGTCGGGGGCTGCGGCTGGTATGTCTGTCCGCGCGCGTCGAGCGCCGCATTCCGATTCACATAGTCGTCGTGTTCGGCGAGAGATGACGCCATGGATCGATCCATGTTTCGGCGATCCCACATGTCCCTGGCATTTGTTCCAGTCAATCTGTCGACGACATGTCCATGGACCGTACTTGAGTTGGAATCCTTTCTTCTTGACATCGTCCAGGGTTTGCTCGATCGAGCTCTTGGGTCGGTCTGCCACGGGCTGCGACAGCGCGCTGATCCCGGTGCGGTGGCCTGGAGGTCCAGTCGGCGCTCCGCCAAATCCCATCGACGGCGGGACCGACGGAGGGTTGAACGTTCCCGAGTTGCCGAAACCACTGCTGCTGCTGCCGTGGTGCATGTGACTCGGCATGCGGTGGACGCCGCCGTTGCCGCCGCCGACCCCGGGCTGGACGGGCTTGGGGGCGCCAAAGAGGGACGTTTTGGCCCCGATCAACACGGTCGGTCGGTTGTCTCGGGCGCTGTTCCAGCGCGTAGGAATCATTTCTATTCTCATTGCGCTCGAGTCAGCCACACGGCATTTTCCACGCAAAGGCGAACGCAGGGGGTACCTTGCGCCGTGGGCTCTTTCTTCTCGTAACCTGCGCTGCTCCACACTCCACCAGTCGTGTTTTTGGGGGCGGGCGCGAGGCCACCACCGACTAGACCAGCACTCGCCCCACGCCACGACGACTCGTGGGAAGATGATCGTCCTAGCTGAGTGGACTGGCTTGGGCCACCGTACTGCGGAGGCTGGGGATTGCCATGCTGCGGACTGCTGTACTGGGACGGAGGTGGGCCGTTGCCATACTGAGGAGCACTCGAGGGAGAGTCTCGGTATGGCGCGGGTGGGGCTCCAAACTGAGATGGACCGGATGGATTACAGCCCCATGGACCGTTGGAAGGTCCATGGTTCGAGCCAAAGCCTCCGCTTTGCGCAGACGACTGGGGTGCAGGAGGAGCATTGCCCCATTGCGACGACGGAGGCGGTGGTTGGGCAGGTCCTCCCCATGAAGTCGACGACTGAGGCGGACTCGATGGGTTCGACGCATACGGCTGGGCCGTGAATGACGAGGATGGACCGCCACTGTTGTTGTTCAAGCTGGCCGGCACGCCGAGATAATTCAACGTTTCCAGTGCTGCCATGCGCAGCCGACGGTTCTTTTCGTCTCCGTACGCTGGATCCATCGACCCTTGAAAATCTACACTCGACATGATGAGCGCAACGTTCCATCTCTCAAGCAAACGTACTCGAGAGCACGCGAACAGCGTGTTCGTTCAGTCGCATGTAGTGGTGGAATGCTGGATCCCCGCCCTTCAAGCAGTGCTACATCCGTTCGGGAGTGAGCCCACGATCGATCGAACGACACGGCGACGTACGTTGATGACTTGCATAGCTTTGAGCTTGACGTTCATGTTGCTTTTGGCCGTGCGGTTGAGCAAAAATTCGGCGATCTTTTCCGTGCTCCCATCCTGTGCACCTACTTGGCCTACACAAAGCACGATAACGCGTGAGAGCGTGCGTGGCATCGCTCCGACGGTGCGGCCCTCACGTACGAGCAATCTGGTCTAGCAAGTACGCTGGCACCGGACCTTCGTGAATACTCGTCGCCTCCGACAGAAGCTCGCGGGACATGGACGTCGCTCCGTTGGCCGGATGGAGGATCGATCGAATCACCGCAAATGCGAAGTTTTAGGGAATGCGTTTCTGAATCCGTACAGCTTCGTACGTACGTTTGCAATGTATTTGAAAGACAACATTCAAGAGGTGGCGTACATATACGTTTTGACCTCGCGAATGTACGATCTTTACCACCCCCACGGGGTGGGACGCTCGTTTAGGGTATTTGAGCCCTGTGAAAAACCCTATCGACAACTCGAGCCGCAGCCGCCGCCGCCACAGATGGACCCAACCACTTCTGTCCGCGAGAGCACCGCGCGGTACGACAGCGTGGATGGGCGATCGGCATGGAGTGCCACCACTCATACACGAACCTTTCCTGCATCCTAGAGTTGTTGAAAATGCGGAGCACGTCACAATCCACAAGGACAGCGTCGTGGCGCTCGCGGACAAGCTCGTACGACTGACGATTCATACATGTTCGCGTCACTGCCGTCTTCAACATGCTAGGAACGCATCTACCTTCGACAGAAAGATTCGCTCCACGACCAAATCGCGTGGGATTATGGCGATGTCCACTACTACGAGGACGCCAACGACGGCGGTCCGCTGACGTGTCAATATGTGTTTGTCCTGGACGCGCTCAACTTTTGCTTCTGGCCCACTCCCGAGTACGTGTGTGCATGCATGCGAAGTAGGTTTGTCAAAATGGTGGTGGCAGCATGGAGTACGAGCACTTGGCCCGTGGGCTCAAGACCGCGGTCCTTCACGACCGTTCGGCTTTGGATGCCTCCCGCCTCGCCAACGTCACAACCGAGACTGTGGCCTCCTGGTTTGCCCCTTTCCACCCTCCTCAGCTCGATGAACGGGTATGGCGGCTCGTGTCGATGGCGGTCGCAGCCCACTGGACAAAGTTGATCGCGTTGTCGTCGTGCGTTTGTAGGTGCGAAAAGTGCAAGAGTTGGGCGCAGGCCTCGCGCGGTTCTTTGACGGGCTCGCGCTCAACCTCGTACGTGCGAGCAAGTTCTCGGCCGTCGAATGCATCCGCCTCGTGCTGGCGCACTTTCCAGGCAAGCCGCTGCGTCGTGGCGGCGCACCGATGACATGGCGCTGGTTCGTAGGCTTTCAAGATCATGCTGTGTACAAAGGCGACCAAGTTTTTCTGTACAAGCGAGTGCAGATCCTCGTGGGAGACGTCTGGGCTGCGTACGGCCGCCATATTGTCGACATGGCTGTCCCGTCGACGCACGTTGTTGGGGGCTTCTACGATATCGATCGACTGACCATGTTTGGTACGATGCTCGTGCGCCTACTTGTGTGCACGCAGCTGTGCTGTGGGGAGTTCTTCATGTTCGGGCTTGTTCGATTGTAGCCGACTACCGCGTTCCCCAAGTGCTCCGGCCGGAAGGCGTGCTCCAGTACTCGCTTGCGCTGGAGGCGCTCATTCAGGCAAAAACACCCATCCCGTCGGGCAGTCAGGTAGGCGCGACCCCTTCTCCACGCACGCGCGACCGGTGCATGTGGTTTGCAAGTAGATGGAGATTGAAATACGAGCGAGCACGATCCAAGCCGTGGAACGTGTCCATGCTGAGTTGGTTGCAAAGGGCCATCACGTAAAAGTGATTGAGCTCGACTGGCTGCTGTGGCAGATCGGGGAACGTGCGAAAGACGCGCTGCCGCCGCACCACCGCACGTGGAGTGTCTTTTATTAAACAACACGATTCGTTCCGAGATTTCGTCGTCCGTAAAGACAGGGCGAATCGTTCCTCATGGGCATCGTCTCCACTGTCGTCGATGGGCGCGCCTTGCAAACTAGCCATGGCCCGCCAGCACACTACGATGCGCGCAATTCGTCCCACGCATGCATCCAATGCGAGCGACGGCGTCATGGACGAACTGGCAGCAGCAGTACATTCTGTGCATTTTCAATAGCAAGAAGGACGAAACTCTACCGCCAAATATTCCAAAACAACACGATGGCATGTGCCTTCGATCCTCGCACAGCCACGTGCGCTACGGCTTGAGCCGGCCGTCGTGGCCACGTCCGCCCCATCGAACGCTCCATGCCGCGAGCAACTTGACAAGCACGAGAATGACCGCGCCGATCACAAATGTCGCCAGCACTTGGTTGATTGTGGTTTGTGCGATTGCGTCAACAACAAACCCGTCCGAGTCCATCAGGTTGTTGTCGATGCAGTACGCATGCGACTGACTCCATACGCGGCCGGGGGTGCGTTGATGCGATGCCGAGCGAAGCTGGTTCCACGCAATGTCTCCATAGACATAAGCGGCGTGGATCGCTTCGACGTCCAAAGGACGCCCGTCGTCCGGGTCGAGGAGGAGGGTGCCAATTTGGCAGTCCAGCTTCGGGACATCGTCGCGTGGGTGCATAACATTGACGACCCGGGTCGATATACTGCCGAGAAGGGCTGCATTCACGTGGTACATGGCCAGAATGTCGAGCACCCCGTTTGATGCGAACACAGTCGCATTTGTGTTGCGGTGGACGGCCATGACCTGGCCCAAGGCTCCGCCTATCGAGTACCTACGGCGTTTGCTGAGCGACTTGCGAAGAAGCCGCAGATCGTACCCGGTGAATGCCACGGGAGCGGCGTCGTCTGCGACGAGTTCGTCGACCAACGTCTTGGCCAGCGAGAAGTAGTCCATCTCCAACGCATGTCGCGTCTACGGCCACAAAAAGGGCGAGTCATGGACAAGTTCTCGTTCGAATGGCAATGCACATTACACCAAAGAGAAGCGCCTGGATGGCACGGGAGCCATAATCGATCGCACCCAACGGCGACGGTCCAAGCGCGAGCTGCACAAAATTGCGTCCATACAACGCCTAACGTGGATTTGGTCATGACATGGAGCAAGACCGTAGCGTACCATGGCTTCCCACATATCGTTGTCCAGGAGCGATTCGCCTTCCTGGTGTCGGAAGGCGATCACGGTGGATGGCGGATCGCTCGACTTGGAGCGAAACACGAGCAAGTGGAGACCACCCAGCACAATCTCCCGCCCTTGCACGTGGACGTGGGTGGATCGAACGTGCGAGATGTCCGTAGATACTGCCCACCGGTCGTGAAATTGTATGCTCTCGCACTGTGTTGTGTTCAACTGGGTGGCCATGTGCGAGATGGGCGTCGCGAATTCGCGGCACATGCACAGCATGTCCAGGAGATGCGTCACACCGTCGCCAGCCCGCGATTGCAGTGGTGACGGAGGTGCATGCGCCAGCTCGTGTGGAAACAGGCGGCCGACCGTGTACTCGTACACAGACGCCGCGCTCGTCGTTGCCCAGTCTTCCATCCAACTGGCACTCGCGAAGTGCCGTTTGGATTTCTATTGCCGAGAGTCTTCCGGATAATTCGCTTGTACGGATAACCTCAGGTGCATCCACATGGCCCGTCATCTGGGGGAGCACCTTCGTCGCGTCGAACGGATGCGTGACAAGGAGCGGCCGCCTGTCATCGAGCCAGCGTCGATGTCTCGAGGGTCGACTAGGAGCTCCACCTGTCGTCAAGCCAGTGTCTCTGCGTTGGTGGGTCAGCCATGCATGTTACGTGCTCAGCGCATCCACAATTGTTGTCGTGTCCAGCCCACGTTGCCGCGGTCGCAAGTTCACACGAGTTCTTGGAGGACACGCAGTTCAAGCATCGTCGGTCATGTGGAGCTCCTCGATGCAGAACGTGCGCTAGGAGGAAGCGGTGAAAGGTATGCAGCGGAGGAAATAGATAAGGTGGACCGAATGAGCCATGGGCAGTGTCACTCAGTTGGACGAGTAGTGCACCTGCCAGTACTACACGAACGAAACCCATCAATCGTGTCGCCGCTCCGGACGTTGAACGAGTTACGTGCAGCCGTGTGCTTGGTTTGCCTGTTATTTGATCTTTTGTCATGGATCGAACTGGAAAGGCCATCACGTCCAAGCATCGCAGCGTCATGTACGCCCTCGGCCACCTCAAGAGCACGCGGGAGTGGGTGCCGGACAGCGCGAGGCATCACTGCTCATGCTGCACGAAACAGTTCTTTTTGGGCGGCGGAAAACACCACTGCCGGCGATGCGGGGACGTCGTGTGTAAAACGTGCGCGCCGTTCGCGCCTGCGCTGCTGCCGGTTGTCGGCCGCACGACCGTCCGCGTGTGCCAGAGCTGTCGTGCGATCGATGCCGCCCTCCCCGAATCACACTTCCTCGACGACTTGTCGTCGTCAGAGGACGACGACGTCGAAGAGCTGCTGCAGGAAAAGTCCGAGATGCTGCTCTTCAACCCGAGCCACGACGTCATGGCACGGATCGAGATGAAGTTGAACAAGAAGAAGCTCGTCGAGTGCTGCGAAAACAACCGACCGACCTCAGCGTCGTCCACAGCGTCCATGGCGAGCACCTGACCATGTCCCGCGCGCCGTGGTTGAACTTAGCCACGCAACGCTTTCGTCGCGTTGGCCGTAACTTAAACAAGTGATCATGATCGAGTTGAGGCACCCTAGAGTCGGGTCGCCCTCCGTAAACAAATCATTCCCGTCCGCCGTGAGTACCACTTGACTCAAATGGATGGCTGGGGAACGTGACACCTGTTGGCAGCATCCAGCGCAACGACAGCACAAGTCAACAACTTCCGTGCCGTCGTTCCATGCTGCGTCAGGGCCCTGGCTACGCGGAGCTCACGACGCGACCACAATGCCCAGAACCCCCGTTGGTGGCGCGGGCGAGCTTCCCCACGAACGCGACTTCGTAGCCCTTCCGCTTGCCCTCCTCCTTTCTTGACGTCCACATGGGTGGTCTGGCTTTCGAGTTGTCGACAAACCAGGGGCCATGTGGGGGGGGACCTTCTGTTGCGACCTCCCTCCCTCCCTCTACTCTCCACCGTGTGGACGCGTCGGCAGCTCCCGGCTGGGACATGCACGTTACTAGCACACGACCGCTGCACAACCAACGTGGTGTCCACTTTTTCATACTGTACGTCTGTCCATGGATCCGCTCGCCGCCGCCGCCGCCGCGTCGCCGCGAGCGCACAAGATCGTGTACCGGTTCGAGCACTTGCTGGCCAAGCACTTGTGGGTTCAAAACAAGCTCCGCACGGTGTGTGTCCTGTGCTCGAAGCGATTCTTTCTCGGTGGAAAGCACCACTGCCGACGATGTGGCGAAGTGTTTTGCAGCGACTGCACACAGTTTGAGACGGCGCAGCTGCCCGGCGCCAGCCGCACGCGCGTCCGAGTGTGTAAAATGTGCCTGGCCCGGGACTGCCAAGACGAGTCGCTGCTTGTCGTGTCGACGTCCAGCTCGGACGACGACGAAGCTGAGGCCGAGCTCCTTCGCAAGACCGAGAAGATGCTTCTGAGCCCGACCCCCCGTCCCGCTCGACCCAACAACGTGAAAACGGAAAAAGCGCTCCTCGACACTCGCACCACGACCAACTCGGTCGTGTCGTCGGTACACAGCCACGGAAGCGGCGACTCGTCACCCCGATGGCGGCGCCATCCTGGCGGGCATCGCGGCATTTAAATCGATAGATATATCTGACTTGGAATGGTCGATCTGTCGGGACGCGTGCTCGACAAGTTGCCGACCGTGGGGGCGACCACCATCGCACAAAGCCCGACCGTCGACGACTATATGTTGAACGTCACACTCCATCCTACCATGGTGACGCGCACACACCGCGACAAAGCGGCCGATGCACCAACGTCGTCGTAGCGGGGCCTCACGTGGTCGCCACCCACGTTCTACACAGGGCGAACGACGCATGGAAGCGACCACGGCCGGGTGTTCGCGCCGACGTTTGCGCCGCAACTTGAACTGCGCAGCGAGTTTGGACACGCCTGCTGTGTTCAAATCCTCACCCACTTCGACATTGCCCTAGATCGTCCGGCCCCAGTGGAATGCGGTGTTTTCTGTCGTCCGGATACACTGGGTGCGTCTTTTTTTTCGTGAAAAAAGGTGTGTGGTTTTTGATATATATCGAACGACGTGGTGTCCGTCGATGCATTTTTATTCGACGTGGAGAACGATTTCTTGATCGGACAAGTTAGTTCTCGACTATACGACGAGCCAAGAAGCGTTAGTTTTCAAATATTCACGATAATATTTGGCGACTATGTACTTTTGCACGTTTTTGGTGACACGCCATCCACGACGACGATTTTGGGAAATTGCACCGCAAAAAGCAACCAAAGTGGATGAGGAGATGCGGTTGAGACGGCGACACATGGAGCCCGAGCAATCGCGCGGAGCAGCCATTACACGCAGGACGGTGTTACGAAGCGGTGCTGTCCGGCGCGCGCCAGAACAAAAGTCGCCTTGGACCGACGACGAGTTGTGTGCTCGTCGACCATGGCCACCCCACGACCGAGGCTGTTGTACCGCATCACAGACGTGAAAGCCAAAGAAGAATGGGTGGACGGGAGTCGCCGCAGCCACTGTGTCATATGCACCAAGAAATTCTTCCTCACGATGGGAAAGCACCACTGCCGCCGATGCGGCGACGTCATTTGCAAGGACTGCTCGACCTTTTCGCTTGCACAGGTTCCAGGGGTCGGACGTGTGAAAGTTCGTACGTGCAGGCTGTGTCACGCCAAGGACGTCGAGGCCGGCGAGTATTTGGCGCCGCCGTCGTCGTCGTCCGAAGATGACGACCTCGAAGACGAACTTCTCCAAAAGTCGGAAATGATGCTCTTCAGTCCCCGCCGCAACCAAACACCTCAAGCCGCCGCCGCCGCCGCCGCGGAATCTACCGATCGCCTCTGCCGAAAACTCGATCAAACCACCATCACGGAAGAGGAAGAAGACCGGTACACCGTCCAGTCGTACGCATCTGGGGATAGCACCACGGACACCATGTCCCCCAAACTTAATTTCAAATAACTTGTACCGAGCTTGTATTGTCGAGAGCGCCATGCTTCGTCGAGGGGGGTGGGCGCGAGCTCGGTCAGGGTGGTGGCGGCTCCAGCAACTCGCTTGAGTCGCGAGATTGCTGGCGCCGATGTTCGTGGCAGAGGAGGCGACGACGGGATCGTGTGCGTCCACAGCGTCGATAACGTCACAGATCTGAACTCATTTGGACACACGCTGTTACGCCTCCAAGTCGTACTTCATCACAAGCTCCATGTCGACGTCCCCTTGGTCGCCCATGATGGTCGCCATCGCGCGAATCACGGCTTTGTGGGTGTTTTCGAACTGACGTAGCCATCGGTTGCTATAACTCAGGCATAGTCGGGCGAGCCGCCTTGCGTTTTGGCTCGACGTGGCTGCGCCATCGACGTCTTTCAAGTGGAGTTGCTCCAGCGCCAAGTTGTTGTAGCACACCGCAACGAGGCATAGCTTTTGAGCGGACGCGCCGCCGCCGTCGTCTTCCAGCTTTGCTTCTTCGACCAGTGCCAGAATGAGCTGGAGTTGTACGACAGCCTCCGGGTGCTGCTCCAACTTGGACAGTAAATTCGCCATGTGGAGTTTGCATTTCGCCAAGTGCGACCACTCGCCGTGCTTGGAGTGCACGCCATGCGCCTTGGAAAGATATGTCATCGCCTGCCAACGACACCCATGAGTCGAACACGGACGACGAGCAAGTTGATCCATCCCATCGCTGCACGGACGAGAGAGAAAGGGCCAGGAAGCAACGTACCGCGCTGGCCTTGTTGCGGCTATAGTAATAATACGCGTACGTGTCGGCAATGTATGCGAGCAACTCGGTGCGAGATGCACTTAGACAAGTGGCGCCGTCCAATATCGCTTCGGTCTACATACCCAAAGCACATCCCAATGGCAGCCGTCATCACACGCGCATTTTGGAGCAGAACCATCGTACCTTCTTCACTAGCGTCAGGGCAAGCGGAAACTTTTTCAAGTCAATCGCGCGGCTTGCAAAGGCGTTGGCTGCACATTCAACACAGCCCAGTCAATCATCCCATGTCTGCCGTCCCCTCGACGGCTCTTTGCTGACCTGTAATGACGAACTGTTTCCACAGCTTCAGATCCAGCTCGTCCAGCGGCGCGCCGCCTTGGGGCTGCTTCGCTCGAACTCGTGACATGAGCAAGGTCTCGACAACGGCCAAGTACTGTTCAAACTCAAAGTCGTGCTCGAGGTGACGCAGTTCGTGACAAAGTTTATGCCGACACAGCATCGCGGCCCCGTCCAGGCTGGACTCGTCCACCCTGCACGCAGACAGCTTGGCTTCGGTCACCGGGACCGCCAGCGAGCACCACGTCGCCATGACAATGCCCGTGCCTGGAATGCATTGAAGATACCACCACCACAAGAAAACGCGACCAAGAGCATGAAAAGAGGTACCTGCAAACCAAATGGGTTTTGGGATTTTTGGCATGCACAGCACGACTTTGCCGTTTTCAACATGGCTTGGCTGCCACGAGTCTTGAATGTACTGAATGCGCTTTTTTCGGTCGGCTTCCGTGAGCGCTGGTAGCTTTTGGACACTGTGTCGTCGCGATCCACGTGCGCTGTCGTATTTCCCGTCCGATTTCGTCGGTGATGCAGACAATGGTCGCTCTTGGAGGTGCTGTTGTTGGTGCTTTTTCGTCGACATGCTCGTGGCATAGAGCGATAGAATTTGACGTGCGAGTTCGTTTTCCCACGCTTTGTCTGTGTTTTCCGTAGCCAAACTCGTTGGGAACGGCTCTAGTAGCGAGAGTTGGTATGACGCAGGCACAGGTTTCGCTTCGTCTGGCTGGTTGTTGCCTCCGCCATCAGTCATCGTCTCAGCAGGACCGTCGTGGATGACACCCGTTGCGTCTGCAGCGGTGGGATCTTCTGCTCATGACAAATCAAACTCGTGTCGGGAGTAGAGGCAATAGAGGGCGAGTCAAGCACTGCACCTATTGGAGTAGTGATCGACGCTGCAGTGCTGAGTTGTTCCCCAGAGTTGGGAGATGTTAGCTGGGCACAGAATTCTTCGAAGTGAGGCTTGGGCGCGATCACCCCTGGCTTGTATCCACTCGCTTTGGTTGCTTGCAGAAGCTTCTTGCTTTGTTCGAGAATCACCCATGTCTTCTTGTCCATATTGGCCGACCGCTTCGACCGCCTCAAGATGGGCTCGACAAGTTCTGGTGGTTTTTCGGGCGCTAGCTTTGAAGACGCCGCAACATCCACTGTCGTGGGCTCAGAAGCGATGCCCGCAACAGCTTGCGCAAGAATGTCCCGCTTGGACGTGTGCCTCTTCTTGCTCACTGCAGGCATCCTTGCATCCATGGATTCGTCGGTGTGTTCTCTTCGCTCTAGCACCAATGGCCGGACGATCGACGCCGGAAGCACCGTCGACGACGCTTCGACCGGAACAACATGGGGGTAGTGGAGTCCGGTGTCGCTAAGCGAGTGATGCAGCAACGACTGCAGCCGCTTGTCTAGTTTCGTCGTGTGTTTGGCGGCGCGCGGCTTCTTTCGCCTTAACAGTCCCGTCGTTTCGAGCGACTGGAGCACTTGGTGTACGACGAGCTCTCTTTCCTTGGCAAGCTGGGCATCATGTTCTCGTTGCATGTCCTACCTCATGTATCAGAACGATCCTTCTCGCCATGGGCTACCTTGACCAGTTCGGTCACTGACGCCAGCGTCACGGCGGAATCTTCGAGAGGAAGTCGGGGCACATTTGCCTCGGTTGCCATCTTCTGGTCCCCTTGCCGTAGCATCGACCTCACTAGCACAGGACGATTGTTCCCGCTAAAAATAGCTCCGTCAATGTCTTGTAGCATTCAGTGGCAACAGTGCAATCGTGTGGGTACGATTCGATATCGCCGTCTCCCTTGGGCTCGTTTGTGTGTTTTGAGTCCTCTAAAAACGTGCAGCGCACTTCGACGCCTCCTTGAGACGATGCAATCGAGGGGGGTGTGTGCGATGGCTTCCGCTTTGAGTGGCACGTCGTTACGGACGCGGCTAAGAATAGTCGCAAGGGATAGATTGCATTGTGACGGCCATGACCGCGGCGTGCGCCGACGTGGCCTCGTCACCGCAAAAGGAAGGGACCGTGTCCATCGATGACTTCAATGGGACCAAGCCCATCTCCAGTCCCCGTTCGATTGAGGTGATTACAGTCCCATCTTCTTGCCTTGTACTGATTGTCGTCGCCAGGCTTGCGCGGCAGTTGGCATAACACCCGATGACTTGATGCCTCGAACCATAGCGTCGTTTGCATCGCCGAAAGAAGACTTGAGTTTTACCATGAAGCGCGCTGAGCGGTACGAGCAACGCCGTGTTCAGTTGCTTGATCAAGTTCGCGTGGCTCGACAACGCCAAATGGATCAAGAGGTATCGTCGGCCCTTGGACGCTCCGTCTACCGATCGGGGGTCCATACGAGGCCTTCGTCGTCGCCGAGTAAATCGGCGAGACAGTCGAGCCCCGTGCTGCGGACCTCCCACCACAAACCGAGTGGCAGCAACTTTACACCTTCCGTTGTCGAGGACAGCACAGTTGTCGAAAACGAACGCCGACGCCTCGAAAAGATCCAACTGCGTCAAATGACTGAGATGCAGCAAATGATCAACTGGGAAATCAAACAAGCCGAGATGGAAGCAATGCAGACGGAGCAACTTGCGATGCGGAAGCGGCAAGAGGAAGCCATCGAGCGAGAAAAGGCGAGGAGATTGAAAGACGCCGACGAAGCGCGTCGGCAGCGTGAGCTCACCAAGGTACAGAGCACACCACTGGAGGGCACGACATATTCCTGAACCGTGGCATGCAGCGACAAGTGCAGCTGGAAGAAGTCGCGGCAGCGCGCGCGTTGGCGTTGCGAGAATTCGCCGAGGCGAAAAAGCGCAAAGAAATCGAGGATCAGGCAAAATTGGCGTGGAAGAACGAGATGGTCCAACGCGAACGGGAACGCTTACGCAAAGCTGAGGAGCACAGACAACAGACCCAAAACATTCTGAGTGAATTGGAGGCACAGGTACGGTCGAGCGCACACGAGGCCGTGTTGAATGACTGTTGGAACCAGGCCATGAAACGAATGGAGGACATGGAGCGCCGCGACAAAGTGCGCAAGGAAAAACTCGACCGGCGTCGCCACGAGAAAATAGCCGAAATCTTGGAAAAGACGGCCAAGAATAAAGAACGAATCATGAGTGTCATGAACGACAAAGACAGGCTGCTTCAAATGCAACGCGAGGCGTACGCCCAACGCCAAGCGGATAGTGACGCGCGGCGACTTCGACTAGAGGCCGAACAAGCTGCACGACGGCAACAGCAAGCTCGTATCGACGCCGAGCGAAAGGTACGGCTATGTTGGCGTATCGCAAACGCTCTGAACTTTGGGCGATGGACGTGACGATCATTGATCCACACTGAAGGAAGCCGAGATTGCGACGCGGGAGCACCAGAAACAACTAGAAACAGAACGGCGGGAGCGACTGCTGGACGCCGAGCGCGAGGCCGAGATTCGATTACACATTCGTACGCAGGAAAAGGAAGAACTGCGTCAGCGCCGCCGCGAGGAGGAAGAGATCAAAAACATGGAGAGGATTCAAGTCGCCAATCGGATGCGGGAGACAGAAGCCGAGCGACAGAGTCAGATTTTGTCCAAGTCACAGTCCAAGGGCCAGCGCGCCGAGATGGTTTGTCCTTGGACGTGGTGGCGGTGAGGTCAAAACGTTTTGACGGTAGATGCAGCACAAGCGAAAACTGGAGATGCGAGCCAAATGGGAGGAAGCAAAACTGCGGGAGGAGGCGATTCAGGACGCGTTGCAGAGGAAGGCTCGGCGAGATGTACGTCTTGGCACGACGGCAGCACAGCTTGGTGACAAACAGGAGATGGCGTTTAGGACTACCATAAGAGCGTCCTCATGTCCAAGTTGGAATGCGACCAAGCACGTACGGACGCCATTAAATGCCAAAAGGAATCGATATTGCAGCAACGTCGACGAGTCAAACAACAAGCCGAAATCCAGCGCCAGGAGATTTTGAGCAGCTTTTACAAAATGAAGGTATGGTCGTGGTCAAGAAACGCACGAGGGAGTAACAGGTGAACCAGATCACGAAAAAATTCAACCTCCAAGCTGTCGAGAGCGTCTTGGGGTCGACAACTTCCCGGCCGAAGACCGCTCGAGGTGGTGGAACAAGCCCTGCAAAGATTAAATCGAACAACCACAAGATCTCCACTCGACCAAAAACCGCACCGAGAGGCGGAGTGCGGCGGCCGAAAACGCCCCAGACACGACCAGCCGTGGCTTCCGCAGTGTGCCGTCAACGGTACTCTTCTTTCGCTGCGTCGTCGAACGCCGTTGACTTTGCTGCGCCCAGGTACATCAGCAAGCACATCTCGAGGTATCCGTCGAACAAGGACACAGCAACTCCTGAACAAGTTGCCGAATTGGCGCCTCAACCTCAAGCCTCAAAACCGACGATGGACCAACACTTGGAAGCGTTCCGACGACGGCAAAACCAAGAGTTGCTTCGAGTGCTCGAGGAAGAACAAGCTGCGGAGGAGCAGCGTGAAGTCATCATGCAGCAGGCGCGGGATTCGAGTGAACGCAGCCGCCTTGAGAAAATCTTCGGTCTCGAGCGAAGCCAAGCAAGTGAACGCATCATGCGGCTTACGGAGGAGCACGAAATCATGTTCAATCAGCATTTGACCGAGCTTCGACAACAGGCTGATGGCATGTAAATAATACAGCTTGTACAAAACAAACCAATGTCACGAAATCACATGCAGCCCAAGCATTGACGCGCGAAAGGCCACCGTCGTGCTAGAACAAGGCAGAGTGGATAGGCATCTCAATTGGGGGGCAAATACCTATCAGCTTTGACCTCGTAGGTGGGAAAGGGGGCGGACTGTGCAAGGCTACAGCAATCATCAAATGCAACTTGACGGTGCTCAAGTTCATCAAGGAAAAGGCTCTACCGAACATGCAAGCGCTTCGTAACTTGATTGGACCAGTCAGACGACATTGTTTCCACGTGCTTCCATCCTCGTTCAGTGTCGTCTGTGGACGAGCATGTTCAGGAGAATTGCCGAAAGCCGATGGTCGAGATCTTACTGTTTTTTGCGGCAAAGACTGAAGCGGAGTGTTTTCGCACCAAATCTTTGAGCTGATTGTACACATTTATCGGTTTGCGGTACGAAGTGTCTTGCAGGCGATTCTGAATCATCTGCAAGACATTATTGACGCATCATCATGACGATATCCTTCGGACACACCCTGTCGATCGCGTTGAAAGACCCAATGCAGTCAATGGCAATGATTGGCACCACCCCGGACTCGGTCAAGAGCTTTGTGTGTATGTTTTTCAATTCCATGCTCCAGGCGTCACTGGTCTCGACGTGGTACACAAACAAGCGCTGCAATGCCGCATCCAGATCGTTCTCCCCACCCTCTTCGCTGGTCACCATCATTGCCTGGACGATCTCTCGCATCTCAGTTGCGTCCACCATGCACTCATGATCAAAGTAATAGACTTGGGTACGCCTGTCTCGAACAAGGTACGCAGCACACAAGTGTTGCAGAAGCAAACTCTTGGGACTCTGCGCATCACCGTACACTTCCACGACAGACCTTGACTTGATGCCATCAGGGAACATCGCGTCAACTACGTCGATCTTGCTCATGAAGTGGTGATCGTACCAAGTGCGCTGGACAACGTCTAGCGCCGTCTCGTCCAGCGCCCACATGCTCGCAAATTCAAATTTGTTTGATGTCATCCGGATAAACTAAACTTATCCGGTATGGCGGGGATTTCAACAAACCCCTGTTGAGGACAAAATGCGACGTCGCAATGGCGTGGAGATCCCGTTCTTCGGTCTCGGGACATCGCATAACGGAGGGTACTCTCATGAAGATGTCGTGGCAAGCATCCAGCTTGGTGTGCGCACCATCGACACAGCGACGCGAATGGATGCAAGTCGCGGATCGCCACGGCCATTCCCACAGCCAAGTCCTTCGCCAGGAATTTTAATCTTCTACGACGACAATGGCCACGATAATGCAATCAAAAGTGCAGAGGCTTCGCATTCCCGCCTCAAAACCAATTACATTGACATATACGTCCTGCAATGGTTCGACATCGACCAAGCCCAATCGGCGGATCAGCGCCGACACCTGGTCCTCGTGCATCTGTACTCGATCAGCAAAGCGCGAGCGATCGGTGTGGGCAATCTCGTGCAGTCGCATCTAGAACAACTGGAAGCCGACTTTCACGTTACTGGCATCGCCGAGATGCCACACATAAGCTAAGTCGAGTGCCATTGCTACAACCACCCCAAGGAGATGATTGGGTACTGCAGACAAGCAGGAATTGCGTTCAAGGGATATTGCGCTCTGGAAACAGCCGCGAGGGTCATAACCGTCGGATCTGACGGTTGTGGCCCTCACATGCCAGTACAAGTGCACCCCCGCACTGGTGTGTAGTTGACGGAACCTCCAGCACGGGTGGCCCGAACGTTCGCATTCACGATATCAGCGTCCGCCATGGCCAAACTGAATGCTCTCCACGATGGTGACCTGAAACCCCACACACGTGCCGTCTTCCCAACCTTTTCGATCGATTTTCCTTGCCTTGTTGGCATGATTCGCTGCCGGCCACGTGCATGTTGACATAGTAGGATGTATATACATCGTCGTACAACACAGCCGTCGTGCGTTGGTTTTGCCTGGCAACTTGTACCTGTCTTGGACACACAGGACCGAACGAGGGATCGACGCACGGAATGCCGTCGCGTCCTATAGACGATACCGCGCCAAGCGACATACTACACGGCGCCGCGATGATTGTTTCCAGTAGTCCTCGCAAACGAACATGTACACGTTGTCTGACACGATTCCTGGCCACTGTCGCAGCGGAAACGAGTCTCTGTCCAAGATTCAAAGCAAAGCTCGAGATTCGTGAGAGAATCGGATGTGAACCTTTCTACGAGCTCGTTCCTTGCGCCCGTCGCCGCCTCGTATCACTGGTCAAGCAGCCGGCCTCAAACGACCGCAATTTTGCACATCATGCGACAGACCTTTGTTGACATCGACCCTGGCTGACCTCCTTTGTTTATACAAACGTCGAGACAAAGAAAGCGCGGTGATCTCCACGACCAGCAGCATGTCGTAACGTCATCATGCGGTTTTAAGTTAGAGTTACATCGAACACGACGACATCATGAAACGTTTCCATACAGGATGTGCTGTGTCCTGTCGTCGTCGTCGTCCACTTTGATCGCACGAGTTTCCTGGTTTTGATGTGCTCCCAGCACAAAACCACGACGACGACATTCGTTCTGATACGAGCACATCGGCCCTGCACCCAACGTTTGAAAAGTCACATCGTGACGCGGTACACCCGTCAATCGTTGAATCAAGCTGCGCGTCGCACAGCTGGTGACGGCCACCGCATTACAATAACCACGGTTTTTGTGGTGGTAATTCTTACAACGGAGGACAGGATTTTTAAACTCGTGCACATTTACATCGTTTCTAGCAGATATTTACATGAAATAATTTGTAGCAAATATTTTGTTTTACATTGCACCTTATCACATCCTTTCGACCCCTCCATCGAAATGCAAAGAATATGAAATGTGTACGGTTTTGAATGTCATGGCCGTCTGAGTGCCGTCGTCATATGCATCATGATCTCGAACTGCCTCTTTTCATTCTGAAGGAGAAACGCACCAGCATGCCATTAATTGTCGAGTTGTCTTGGAATGTAAGGACCCGCAGCATTGCAAACGCCACGATACAGCATGTCTTGGAAGCATGACCACATGCCAAGCGTGCTACACCAACTCCGTACTGGATTTAGAACATGGACATTATTATACACAGGATATTCAGTTCCGAAGAATTCGTTCGGCATCATCTATCTCAAACTATTTATTCAAAAACACTCGTCGTGCATTCAACATGACTTACAAATAGAATCACGGAACACGACCAAACGCACACTCGTGGATATTTTTACCCACTCTGCGGTGCTGCTTTCGTAAGCGAGGAGGGCGTGGTACTCTGTATACCGCCCGCTTTGATCGGGCTCCGGCACGACCGTCGCTCGCATCTTGGAAAGCAATTGCTTCCCCGAATCTGAAATCGTTCACCCATTCAAATGGCATGTACTTTGAGATTCGATTCGAATAGATGATGTTGTTCTGTCAGTATAATGTTGGAGAGGTTTTCACCTGTGAAGTTGGGTCTTTCAGATTCGGCAAAGGGAGGGTGGTGGTAGGACAGCACCGACGACTCCACGAGCATTGGGAGGAGATGGCCGACTGTGTTCGCCTCGCTTCTCCTGAGCAGATTGAGCCACGTACGAAGCCCTCCATCAGGCACCGCACCACCGCGCGCCTTCGTTGCGTCCCCCAGTGACTCCGTGTTGCTTGCCCATGGCCACGATAGACCTCCAAGCGACAGTGCAAATCCAAGCGTCAAGCGCTGCAAAAACCCGCGCTGTCAGCTGTTCGCGCCGGTCTGTCACTCACGCAGGTCGGACGGCCAGCCATCGTGTCATTGTTGAATTTCGCCTGCCATGTTCAAGTGCCAGTTGCCATCCAAGCAAGATTTGATTGTGATTGTCCACTTGGCTGCATGTGTCTGCGGCGTCGGGTCGCTCTCGATGCCGTACATCTTTGCCCAAGCGGGCCCGACTTACTCGACCGTCGCATTCATCCTCAACTGTTTCTTCAACACGTACGCGACGGTCGCGCTGTCGCACTGCTTCCTCAAGCTCCGCCACTTGCCGCACATACACACGTACACCGACTTGGCGGTGCATCTGTGGGGCCAAAAGGGCGCGTACACGGTGCAAGCCACGCAACTGGCGTCATGCATTCTCCTGCCTGTGGCGTTCTTGGTGCTTGGCGGCACCACGCTCCTCCCGGCCATCTTTGACGGGTTCCTCGACTTGTCTACGACGGTCTGGATCATTCTCATGGCGGCCGCGCTGCTTCCGATCATCTACATTCGTGTGCTCCACGAAGCGTATATCGTGCTGATCACGGGCTCGTCGGCGACAATTATCGGAGATGTCATTGCGACCATTGATGCGTACGTCGCGCACGGTGACGAGTTGTTTGAACCGACGGCCAACATCACGGCCACGCACGTTTTCGACACGTTTGGGTCGTTCGCGTTGGCATACGGGGCCGCAGTCGTCGTACCCCAGCTGCAGCACCACCATCCGCAGCCAGAGAGGATGCCCACCGCGCTGGTTTACGGGATGTTGTTGATTTCGGGCTTTTACGTGACTCTTGGCGCCCTCGGGTATGCGCATTTTGGATGTGCGTCGCCGAGCAACCTGCTCTTGGCCATGTCGCACTTGACGCAGCGCCGCCGCGCCGCGTACATTGCGATGCAAATGCACATCACGATTGCGTTTGCTGTGGTCGTGAACCCGTTTTTCGTCACGGTCGAGAAGACGCTGTTTCCGCTGTCGGCGGCCAAGTACGACGACGCAGACGACCAGGAACAGTTCAACCAGATCGAGACCCCCAAGGTCGTCGAGGAGATGGACGCGTCCGAGCCGGCCGCCGCCAAGTACAGTGAGACCACTCGCCGGTACATTTTCCGCACGTTGGTCGTAGCGGGCCAGTGCTTCTTGGCCATGCTCACGCAAAGCTCGTTTTCGGACGTGGCTGACCTTGTCGGCGCATCTGTCATGAACTTTTGCTCGGTCGTGTTGCCCCTCATGCTATACTATAACCTGTTCAAGGGCGAAATGAGCCGGCCGCACAAGATCCTGTGCTGGATTGTCATTGTCGTGTCCATGGTCCTCGGCATCTACTCGACGATCCAAGCGATTGTTCGCATCGTCAAGAACGCATCCCAGTACACGTTGTTTGCGTCGACGCCGCCGTCCAAGCGAACCGAGTATGCGTACTGCCCCGCGGGGTACGCGGACCGAAAAGCGCCATGGCTCGATTCGTTTTCTCTATAGTGTTAGCATTTGTTGCCTGGTAAAGCACTTTTCCAACACATTGAATGCGCGGGATATTCCCCTGGATCCTGAAACTTTGTCGGCGCTTCCGTTGTCCATGCATTGTCGCTGACCGAGTGGCATGCACTGTGCTCGTGAGCCGTGTGCTACCGCTAGCTGGCGACGAGTACTTTCGCCACAGTCACTTTGGTGGAGTGCCAACAACGAATTCTTTCGTGAATGGCTCGTGCGGGCACAGTTCGTGCCCGAGTCTTTCCGAGTTGAGCATTCGGCGGCAAACAACCATCGACGCGTGAATGTCCATTTGCCAATGTAAGCCGAACCAATCCAGCCAAACAACTTTCTACCTTTGATGTGTGTACGTACCGCTGGCGAATCTGTGGTGCTCGATGTTTGACAGTCGTGCGGATCCGTGTGATTTTCCTCCCAGGACGCTCGAACGGTTGAGATGGTTGCTGCTGATGGTACTGTTTTGTAAGGCCTGCACTAGCAGCCACGATTGGAACCGACCAACGAGATAGTTTGGGCAGTAGTATTGTCACCACCCCCTCTTCCCTGGAATGGACCCAATTGGTTAAGGGTGAAATCAAGCTCGACTCTGGCCAACTTTAACAACTACGGTTTGGCTACGGGGGGTGGGGACCAAGTACTGTCTCCTTCCATGGTTTGCTGTGTCTGGTGTGTGTTCTGCGTGGGTTTCCGACAGGGCACTCATTTCAAGAACCAAGGCATTGCTGAATTGCAGCGTGTGCTCGGCGCCCACCATAATTGCCCGCTGCCCTGGGCTACTGGCACAGTGGAGGTTTTTATGCATCAACTGTTGCGCCAATTGCGGGCGTGCTACGGCGAGTGGCTTTTGGCCACAACTCAGTGGAATAAAATCCCTTTCGTGGTCATGCTAGTCATGAACCAGCTACCCTCACCGTACCTCGGCGATGTAGCTGGATGCTGGGGCGTCCAGGTATGTCGCCCATGGACACCAAATCACTCTCGGGCAAACTCAAGTCAGCTACGCTAGTTGAGTTAGCACGCCATCAGCGCTCAATGTCGGACGGTCAGGTGGTGCGTTGGGCGCTATGCACAAGGAGTGCTGCCAACGCCCTGAAACGTGACCGAGCCCGCAAGGCCCGTGAACAGGAACGTGGTATGCAAATGGCCCTATTTGTCGTGGGTGACGATGCACTCTACCGCGACGTTTTGTCGCACCATCATCGTACCATATTGCCAACAACCTGGAATGGCCCAGCTGTGGTGACTGCTATGAACAGCATCTGGCTGTACGACGTCCACAATATTATCCACGGCGATGCCCGCAGTGGCCTCAGGTTTTATGCCGACGGGAGCCTCGATGTCTCTGATGATGTATAGGAGCGTGTGGCCCATCACTGTAAAGGCTAATGAGGCGGAGGTCTTTATGGACTGTCGTGTTGTGGCCGACAGAAACACGTATGAGATGCTCTTCAACTGGCGCGGTCTCGAAGCCATGGAAAACGCTTGGGAACCTGCCGATATCGTCCATGAAAATGTCCCAACGGCATTCATACATTCCTGTCCGTGCGAAGAAGGAATCTTCAACAGTCATGAAGCACATGACCAAGCCTTTTTTCCGTCCTAGAGCGGGGGACGTGTTGTCCTGTGACGACTTTCGTGTTCCACGACATCTGACGAGTGTGAGATTCCTTGGATTCTGGAATTTGATTGGCTCCGTCCGTTTTTTTGACGTGTGTTTTCAACTTCAAGGTGGAGGTAGGATGTGGTCGATGGGAATTCACGCAGCGAGAGAGGCGGCTAGCTGGCTACGGGATGAGCCTAACTTGGCAAGAGTTACGTGTGAATGTGCCATCTATCTGGCTATCCTACCTCGGGGAGGGACAACAACATGAAGCTGGTGTGAAAAATCGGCGTTGTCTCCCCACAGTAGTGGAGGTACCTGCGTGACATGGTGTGCGACCTTTCGGACGCAGGTTTGGGACACCCCACGGATGAGGCTTTGCACGACCGATGAAACACAAGGGGATCGTAGCCGTCTCGGGCAGTGGCTGTTGACAAACGAGCGTCCAAAAGAAAAACAATCAGCGTTGAAACACAGCGCCAGAAGACGCCGCCTAAAACGACCTCGTCGTCGTCGTCGTTCCTTGTCGTTGTTGGCAAGCAACACGTTCAGAAGCAGTGCATGATTTGTGTGTGGCGTGGGCGGCGCAATGGTTTCCTGAGGGAAGCAGGATGGAAGCTCCACGTGTGGCGACCTGGAAGGCACAGTCACGGAGATAGATACAAGTCGAGGTTTGCGTCCGATTCTCGCGACGTGAACGAAACAGCCTTGACAGGAGTGTGTCACTGAAGTTGAATGAGGTCAAAGTGCGTCCACCAGCCCGCACGCCCTTGCCCAGCAACTTCAAACCAAATCAAGAGTGGCAGCAGCCTACAGTACGAGGGTGCGGCTGGTGTGGAGAATTGGAGAATCGATGGCTGGCGTAGGTTGGAGGGCTCTGCACCCATCCATCACTGCTTGGGAAGGTTTATGCAAGAAGGCTGTGTCCTGGCCATGACGGTTGTTTCTTCAGTTGTCCTCAACCACAGTCCCCAAGCAACTTCCCCTTCGTTTTGTGCCTTCTGACGACGGGCACGACGAAATCCCCCACGAGGCAGTCTTCAGACTCGAAGCTTGCCGAGGGGTTTGGGGGTTTTGCGACAGGCGACCCCATTTTAATTCATTCTTGTCGCAACGTCCACCACGACAGCCTTGACGATGGTTATCTCAGACAATGCTATATTCGCTGTAACTGTTGTTGTCGTTGGGCGCGACCACTACCATCACATCATTCGTGTTGCCATTCAATCCACTAATTCATCCTTGTACACGCCGTCCGACCATCGCCAGCAGATGATGCACGATTCTGTCGTATCCAGGCAAGTTTGTGCGACGTTTGGGGTCGCGCGACCTCTATGAGAACTCGACCCCGCACACTGGGTCGGCGGGGGCTAGTGAATGAACCAGGTAGCAGGCGCCACCTAGTCCACACCCAGCGGTGTATACGGCGCGCCATGCGGTGGATGGATTTCCTAAAGTTTGTACGTTGGCACGGCTTGGAATTCGAGAGCGTGCACCCATCTTTTGACGTCGAGTATTCCGTGGATGCGACACCAAGAGGTCATTTTACGATTTTCCTCCTCCCGGGCACGATGTTCTCGTGCTACGTGCTGTCCAAGCAAGATCTGCTCGCAATCGTGCATTTGGTGTGCTGTGTTTTCGGCATCGGGTCGCTCGCGATGCCGTACATCTTGGCCCAAGCTGGCCCGACCTACTCGGCCGTCGCTTTCATCTTAAGTTGCTTTTTCAACACGTACGCGACGGTCGCGCTGTCGCGCTGTTTCCTCAAGCTCCGCCATTTGCCGCACATCCACACGTACACAGACTTGGCGGTCCATATGTGGGGGTCCAAGGGCCGCCTGGTCGTGCAGGCGACCCAGCTCACGACGTGCTTTCTCCTGCCTGTGGCGTTCCTCGTCCTCGGTGGCGCGACGCTCCTTCCCGCCATCTTTGACGGTGCCATCAATCTGCCGTCGACGGTGTGGATCATTCTCATGGCGGTCGCGTTGCTCCCGATCATCTACATTCGCGTGTTGCATGAAGCGTACATTGTGCTGATCTCTGGTGCGGCTGCGACGTTTATCGCGGACGTGATCGCGACCGTCGATGCGTACGTCGCCCATGGGAACGAGCTGTTTGAACCGACGGACAACGTGAGTTTCACGAATGTCCTGGACACGTTCGGGTCGTTCGCGTTGTCGTACGGCGCGGCGTTAATTGTGCCCCAGCTGCACCACCACCACCCGCAGCCAGAGAGGTTGCCCACTGCGCTGGCATACGGGATGCTGTTGATCTCGGCCTTTTATGTGACGCTCGGCGCCCTGGGGTATGCGCAATTTGGGTGCGCATCGCCCAACAACTTGCTCCTCGCCATGTCGCACTCGACGCATCGCCGCCGCGTGGCGTATGCATCCATGTTTTTGCACGTTGCGATTGCATTTGCCGTGCTGTTGAACCCGTTCTTGGTCACAGTGGAGAAGTCACTGTTCCCCCAAAACGCGGCCCTGGACAAATGCGACGATGACGTGGAAACTGAAGGCGACGGCGACATGGTGGCCGCTGCTGACTTCAACGAGCTGGAGACCCCCATGAAGGCCGCAGTGGTCAAGACTGCTGAGCCGCTGGACGCGCCCAAGAACGACGCGACTGTCGCTTCATTAGTCGCATTAAACGACACGGTGGACGCCCGCGAGCCGCAACCTCCCGCCAAGTTCAGCGACACCACCCGCCGCATCCTCTTCCGCACTGTCGTCGTTGCCATCCAATGCTTCCTCGCGATGCTCCTGCAACGGTCGTTCTTCGACATGGCCGATCTCATGGGCGCGTCCCTCACCAACATGTGCTCCGTCATCTTGCCCCTCCTCTTGTACTACAAACTGTTCAAGGCCGACATGTCCACCGCCCACAAGATCGTGTGCTGGACTGTCATTGTCGTGTCGATCATGCTCGGATCGTACTCGACGATCCAAGCCATCATCCGTATCGTCAAGAATGCATCCGAGTACACGCTGTTTTCGAGCGTCACGTCGTCCAAGCGCACGTCGTACCCGTTTTGCCCGGTTGGCTACACCGACCGAAAAGCGCCATTTTTGGACTCGTTCGAGTAGTAGAAGTGCCGTTGGCCCTTTGCCACGCGTCCTGTACAGTCGAAACACTCTTGCCTAATGTGACCTTGTATCCCTTTGATGGTTTTCAAGTCACACGCACAAGCTGCGCTTGTGCAGGGGAGAGTCGTGGCGAATGCGACGGAGCTCATGTCCAAACACGTGCGAGGAAACCTCGTAGCATTCAATGGCTCGCGAGATCCATTCTATGCCAACTCTTGTGACCTCGAATGCCGTTGGGATCATCACAACGACGACAATGTTACGAGAATGGACGAATCATGTTGATAAATACGACGGTTTGATGACGTGGTTCACGGAGACACTGCCGCCACGGTGAGCTTTTCCTGGGCATGCTCGACCAAATCGTCCACAGCGCAGTCGTCGTCTTCTTCGTCACGCAGCTCGGGCAGGTTATCTTCGTCGAAGATGACGCGGATGGTCAACGAACAACTTGGGCATGTCCCAATGTCGTCGCCGTCGTACAAGTCTTGCAGAGTGATGAAGAAGTTGTCGCCGCATGGACAAGGGTATGTATAAATCTGCTCCTTCTCATCGTACTCCATGTCTTCAATCTCGATTTCGTCGTACGTGGACATCGCTGCCTTGGTCGACGTCGACGCGGTGGCGCAAGTGGGAGAGGCGGGTTCGTGGTTGGTGTTGCCCAATTGTCACACTAAATACGAATTTCTGAAATTAGTGTGAATGTTACACACCGCCAAATTTTTGGATAATTTGCGTACGACGAAAATGTAAAGTTAAATCGAATGAACAGAAAATATATGTATGGTGGTATCGAAGTGTATTTTTATTTTACATGGAAAAAATATTCGACTTGTCCGATATTTTTCGTTGTTTGGATTCTGTAACCGACGCCATCGCGGACGCACCACGGCGCTTGCTTGCGACGGACGTCTCGATGGCTCATTTTGACATTCACGAATACACCCTGGAAGAAGTGGCTAAACACAGCAGTGCTGGCGATGCATGGATCGTGCTGGGCGTAGATGGCAAGCAGAAGATTTACGACATCACTGCCTTCCTGGAGGACCATCCCGGCGGCCCTGAGGTTTTGGTGGATTTAGCCGGGAAAGACGCACATGAGGAGTTTGAGGGCGTGGGACACTCGAAGAGTGCGCGCGACATGGTCCAACAGCTGTGCGTTGGCCGGTTAAACACCCAGGGCAAGAAGAAACCCAAGCGACGCCGGATCGTCCTCCCCACGATCGAACCAGAACCGACGGGAAACATGCGAGACAATCGGCTAGTCGCGCTCATGGTGGCTTTCATGGCCATCTTCTTTGGGTACTTGGTTTACCCCATCTCATAACGTAAACACCAGCAACGGCAGAACTACCAACTCCACACTTCATCCTCTCCTGCAGCACTGTCGTCTCGATGCAGTATGCGTGGGCATTCAAGGTCTCATGGTGCGCTGCAAAGGAAGAGCGCATTCCTACAGTATACATGCAGGTGCATATTTGTGCTGCTCGTTGCCATGGACCACCGCCCACTTGTCATAAACTCGTTGTTTTCTCAACTAGACCCATGGCATCCCACATCCCTCGAAGGATAGACAAACGCCACCGTGTCCACACATCCCGTACCATCGAAGTGCCCTAGGTGGTAGTATATTGGAAAAGGAAGCGGACGGCTCGAAGATGTGGTTGCGTCCGTGCTGCTGGGGGTGGTTGGTTGGGTCCGTGATGTTTGGTTGCATTGAACAAACGAACGAGTCAACGAGTTCCTTCGCCCGACCCATCGAATGTTCACGCTCACATGGTGTATAGATTGTCGTGCTTCTCGCATAGCTGGGTTGATTCGATCGATTCCGGACATGCGAACTTTGTGAACGGTATCACCGGTCGCCACCTATCGCAATACTTTGCCTTCCAATTGACATGTGCCTCGCTGGCATGCGGAATGCCGTGAGGAGCAATTGCATCCAAAGGTCAAACATCTTGGACACGTCCCCAATGTACGTTGTAGGCAAACACGCAAAACCTAACGGGCTGGGACTGAGCGCTTGCTCATGGCGAAAGTAGTCGGATCGCGTCAACGATGCCGAGGAATGACCTGTTGTGCGAGATGGCCACGTGAGGTCTCTCCATGATCTGCCGTCGCTGCGTTGTGTCGCCATCATGATGTGATACAGTTTGATATTTCGAAATTGATATTTCGAAATTCAAAGAAATCTGAAGATTTCAAACATTGAATCCAACAAGTTCTTAAAACCAGGGAGTGTCCCAATGGGACATGTCCCGATGCCCCCAACTTCAAGTCAGTCTTCGTCGGCCATGATGCTGGGCATCCGCACGTGTGCAACCCGCCGCACCGTGGCAAATAGCCAACACCGCTTGTTTTCAGGCCGCAAGGACGTCGCATGTGAGTTGGCGGCGTCTAGCATCCGCTTTGGCGCTGGTGTGACGGCCGAGATTGGCTTGGACCTCAAGGAACTGAAGGCGCGCAACGTCGTCATGTTCACGGACTCCCACCTGAGAGGTACACCCCACCAACCGCTGCATCGTGATTCCTACAGTGTTGTTTCTCACTCTCGCTCTTAGACCTTCCCGTGGTGCACACAGTGTTGGACTCGTTGGCCGACAACGGCATCCGCGCACATGTGTACGATCAAGTCCGCGTCGAGCCAAACGACATTTCGTTCCAGCACGCGATTGCATACATGAACGGCCTGGCGACAGATGTGGACGCGATCGTGGCAGTCGGCGGCGGGAGTGTCATCGACACGGCCAAGATCGCCAACCTGTACTCGATGTTTCCCCCGAGCGACTTTTACGACTACGTGAATCCTCCTGTCGGCAAAGGGATTCCAGTGCCAGGCGCGTTGCGGCCGCTCTTTGCAATTCCGACGACTGCTGGTACTGGGAGTGAAACGACAGGTGCGATGACATGGCACGAACATGGCGTCAACCTTTGATTGCAGGCGTTGCTATATTCGACGACACCCGCACCAAGAGTAAGACGGGCGTCGCCCACCGCCGGCTCAAGCCAACCCTGGGGATCGTCGATCCACTCAATACCGCGACGCTTCCACCGAATGTGGCCAAATACTCTGGCTTTGACGTACTCTGCCACGCGATCGAGTCTTTCACGGCGATTCCATTCACGGAACGACCTTATCCTTCGACACCGGTAAGCCTCACTGCCCTCTCCATGGCTGACTAGGACGTGCAAGTAGAACCACCGCCCTGCATACCAAGGCTCGAACCCGATTAGCGATATTTGGTCGTTGCACGCTCTGCAACAGACCAACAAGTTCCTCCGACGAGCGGTGCGCGACGTCTCCGACGTGGAAGCGCGCAGTGCCATGCTGCTGGCATCCACAGCGGCCGGCATTGGATTCGGCAATGCTGGCGTGCATCTGTGCCATGGCATGAGCTACCCCATCGCGAGCCAGGTACGATGGCTGACAAAACACGACTGGTACAACGTGCGGATGTTCGTGCCAACAGGTCAAGTCGTACGTGCCGCCTGGCTACGATGTCGGCCACCCAATGGTGCCCCATGGCCACTCAGTTGTCGTCACGGCGCCTGCAGTATTTCGTTTCACAGGTCAGGCAAACCCTGACCGGCACATGACATGCGCCCAAGCGCTGGCACAAGGCACGGAGAGGTGGCACAAGTACGACCAAATGACGAGCAAGGCTAAAGCCGAGGGTGCTGGGGACATCTTGGCCGACGAAGTGCTGCGACTCATGCAAGACCTCGATGTTCCACTAGGTACATTCACAGCCATGAGGATCCGAGTCAGGCAAACAACGTGGCTCCCTAGGCATCGGATTTCTTGGCTACACGGCAAGCGATGTCCCGGCGCTCGTAAAGGGGACGCTGCCACAGCACCGCGTCACCAAGCTCGCGCCGCGTCCTGCCCGTGAAGACGACTTGCACCGGTTGTTTGAAAACGCCTTGCATTATTGATTGTCCATTTTCAGGATTCTGATTGGCTATCAATATCCTTGATACGCAATTTAATTCGAGGAAAACCGAAGGATCTGGATTTTACGATCTATGATTGGCCACTGTGAACCAATCTAAATGCAGACATTCTCCGTCCATTTTTTCGAACCCACCGCAGCATGCGCCGCCCAACGGCCAGCCGATGACGCTGCCACTTGATGGTTTGGTGTTTTAAGTGACGAACAAGGGTCGTCCTGTGGCTCGACCGTGTGAATGCCGTGATCGTGACCCCGGAGCTGGCGGTGATGACGCCAGACAACGCGGTGGATTTCCTAGAACGCACTGTCAGTCACGATGCTCTTCGACTTGGCACCGGCGTTCTCACGCGCGGTAGCCGTCAACACCTCCGATGTTATTGCTCCTTCTGCGTTTGCCCCACCTCTTCATGGATGTCCTGCCTTGGCGATCGCCACCACCGACACAGCGGCGACCTCGTCGTACCGACTCGCGATGGTGAAAGTAGCCACCAAGTGCTCAGTGGTGGAGCAAGCTCGCCAAGTGCAAGGCATGCGAGGAGTCGTTGGTGCTGTCTTCTTCAACAGCTCGGCCAACGTCGATGACGCGACCCTCCCTTTCGTCGACGTTCGAGGAATCGTCTCAGATAGCGCCACCATTCCCGCCGCATCCACCAGTTGCAAGGACGTCGCAGCCTTGCAATGACGGCTTGACGTGAAACAGACTACCGTTGTGCTCCACTTGCGCGGGGCGTTCGCCAAGGCTTATTACGACCATGTTGAGATTGTGCTGTATGCATCCTCTACTTCGCCGTCGTTGACACCTCTCTTGGCTTCAATCATCTCGGCTTTTGAGCCGTCAACGGTGCGCTTCACACCGCATGTTCAAGTGTACCCGGCCAAGGAATGGGGCTGCGACAGCCGTCCACTTCAAAACAACTGCCCGTCGCTGTGCGTCGACGACGCCTTTTGCACATTCGACCCCGACAACGACCCAGATCGTGAGAACTCTGGAGCGGACATGCTGCTTCAACACGTCCGCCTGTGGCGCGTATTCCAGTTGTACCCCGTCGCGAGTACGCGGAGCGCGTCGCGGCGACGTGCACCCCTCCCCCGAAAACGCGGCGTGTTTCACGGACGATGCCGTATTGGACATGCATCGCGTGCAGCAATGCGTCGATTTCAATCGCACAATACTCGTCCTCGAGCACGAAGCGCAGCTGCTCTTTGCGTCGGGGCTCACGGATTTCCCAGCTCTTACCGTCGTCGATCCGCTGCTCTATGGTGAGCTTTGTCAGCTTTTCATGTGCACTGGGCGATGTAGACATTTGGAGGTGTACCGAGCCGATCGCGCTGTCGTCATGTCTATCTACTTCGGCTGCGCCAATGCGCCCCATCTCCCTGTGGCCTGCCCAGAGACGTTTTGGTCGAGTCGGTGCAGCCCCCCCCCCGCGAACGCGACAACTGCAGCATGTAACAATTGCGCGAGTTGCAGGCGTGGAAAGTGGTTCCACCGGCTACGACAGCTTCCGCTTCAGCAACACGGTGCGCCATCGCTGTCACGCGGGGTGTTCTTTCAGTAGAGCCGCACTCTCGTGCGGCGTGCGCACATGAACGTAGTCAGTGGACGTGTGCGGTGTCTGCGGCGGCGATGGCTCGATTGATGTTTGCGGGTAGCGACTTCCTGCCAACGACCCGCATTGCAACCGCCTTTGCATGGATGGCAAGGGCGTGCCATGGGGCAAAGCTCAAGTCGATCCGTGCGGCACTTGCGGTGGCCACGGTATGCGGGTGGGTCTTGGTCGAAATGGATGGATACGATCGTTCGACGCGTGTGGCCTGTGCGCTGATCCCTGCCGACAAAACTTCAAGTGCGTTGTCGACAACGGCAGCAGCGAGGCGGTCGTACAGCACGTCGTCCACGGTCTCCCGTGCGTGCCGCCGACCTCGAATGAATAACTTGTGCTGTGCAATAGGAAATCGTGTTTTGAAGATGCAATGCGCTTGAGGGGTCATGCTGGCATCGGTGGCCGCTCTGATGTCCACTTCGATGGACCAAGTCCACGTCGATTGAGACCGACGATGATGTCGCTGTCTACGTGTTTGGGGCGGCACCGCCATCGCGAATTCGACGGCAAGCCTCGCCACACTGACATCGGCGCTGAGCGCAACTGCCGAGACCGTACACATGAAAGTGCTGTCGCTGGGCAGTCCCACCCAGCACGTGGACGCATAGCAACCTCTTTTACGTGGTGTCGGGGATGGCGCTGAGTATGCTAACCACGACGCCACTCTTGCGATGACGGGATGCCGACCTCAAGCGAGAGATGCAGACCATCATGGCCCGCTCCGCTCGTGCAAAGCAACACTGGCGACTATGATCTTAAAGTAGCATTTCTTGCGTGGCGTCGGCGGCAGCTCGCGTGCTTTGCGCATGCAGCTATCCAACGAGCTGTCGGCGATGACAAGTCGCATGCGTTGACGAATGCTCGAGCATGGAGATCGCTGCGACCACGAATTCGAGCGACTGGGTACCTGCGGACGTGTACGACGTCGTGCTGGAGCAACCTTCGCGACGATGCATGCCAACGCGGGCGTTGCCCGGCCTCCGCGCTAGCCTTGTATCCCATTCGAAGCCGGTCGATGCGATTCTTCGCACGTCGTGCTCGAGTTCAGGGGATTTTATTCACATACTTCGGCGACGTCTACGGTCGGCGCCAGCAGCCTCCGCAGGCTGCGGGACACTTCAACGGCCGACGGGCGATCGCGCGGGCATCTCGCAGTGCACCTCCGGCCGATGTCGGCCAGCCAAGTTGGCATGACGTCCGAAAACGATGGCACCAACGTGTTGGCCGTGACGAGCAGCATCACTTCAAGGTCCGTCAACGGCTTGCCAGTCCATTCGTTATGCGTCGCGGTGGGTGCCAAACTCGGACAACAAAACGCCTACAGCCAGACAGTTGACAGCGCGACCGTCTGCAGCACCGTCCGCGGTGCGTCGAGCCCTCACATGCACGCACCAAATGAATACATGTCCGACGCCGATGTCGGCGCGGTGTGTTGGGCAAGGCGGTCCAACGCGTGCTGGCTTCCAACGCCTGTCACTTTGGTGCCGTTGACCGAATCCAGCAACACGTGGCGCGAGATCAACTGCCCATGCACCCGATCGATCGCATGCAAGTGCACGAGCGCCTCCGCGAGGTCAAGTAGGCTCTTGCCAATCCATCGAGTACCGACCATGCGCTGCCAGGAACATGAGGACGTTCCCACCGTCCATGTGCTCGAGCACGATCGACACACGATGGGTGGCTACGAGAGTCCCCACAGCACGCACCGGAGACGAGATGCTGCATCCAAGAGAACGTGGTCAGGCTAGCCCGGTGGTGGGCACTTGTGTACCTGGCAAGCACGTGCAGCTCATGGACAAACGCGTGGCGGGCAGCTGCACTCACACCCGAGCGCAGGGTTTTGATGGCGACGAGGTGCTGCATCTTGTACTTTTCGAGTGTCACCGAGGCCGTGGGGCTTTGTCCGAGCTGAACGTGGACGTGCTTCACATCGCTGTCGTGCGGGATTTGAAAGGTGCGCAACACGGCGCCGGTCGTGTCGGTGGCGTCCTCCGTGGGCACAAGCAGAGCCGATGGCGGTCGGCCACCGCACCAACCCAGCTTGGCCTTGCGTTCGGCGAAGTAGTTGTTTACAGCCGCTTCCATGGCACATGCACCGCCGCTTGTGGTGGAGGTCGACATGACTGTCAGTACCATCGTGACAAACCAACGCACCACGATGCGGGCCATGCCAACGCATGGCGCCGGCGGTGGAGATCCCCGAAGACACCTCCACGGAGAAGGGGTCGGAGGTAAGCTGTCGACGGACGCGTTGTCAGTTGCTCCAGCAACGTGCACCAGTGGCCGCTGTCAGAGTACTGGGCTTGCGTACACACGAGTGGGCACAGGTGGATGGCATCGGAGGTCGTCCTGAGGCTCGCCATGCAGCCCTCAAACGTCAAAGCGCGCGCATGGCACGCGGCACCGTCCTTGGATGAACACTCCAAATGGCCACGCACGTTGACGCGGACACCGAAGTACAGATTGGTCGCAGCATGATGATGGCAATGTGGCACGCGAGGGTCGGACGGGTCGAGCGCTGCTAGTGCCGTCGAGCACCAGTAGTTGCGCTGGTTGTAGCCCGCAGTGCGATGTAGCTCCATGTGCGTCAAGCCGCACGCCAGCACGGTGGTCACCGACGACATGTCGTTCGAGATCACTATTCTACACGCGGCAAGCGAAAGATGCCAAATGCAAACGGGCACATCGTTGTCGACTCGAGCTACACACTCCATATCACTGGCGGCATTCCGGCGGACTTGTGCGAAGAGCGTGGTCGGTGCCGTCGATCGCACGCACCTCCACGGAGTTACTGGCGACGTGGCTGCGAACGCGACTCCCTCGACCAAGGCGACCGCCAGCGCGACCAGTCGTTGCTCTCTCATGGGCGATCGACTTGCGGATCGCTCGTGCCTGGGAAATGGGGGACAACAGGGATCGACGTAGATACCTAGCTGCCTGGCGCTTCGAATGCGACGCCGGGCATTTCTCGGTCAATGTAAACACCGTGTCTTTGGCCAGCGAATTTCCGCGGTCACTTGGCGAAACGGTGCGGTCAAGATGCAAGGTGCGATACTATTTTGCATCGAATGGGAACTGCATGGTGCGATGCGTTCTATAAAAATCAGTACATTTTTGCTTAGATGTTGTTTACGTTGTCGGTTACATCGTGCACGTGGCATGCCACAATGGTGGAATCAAGCACCATTCGCTCATCCCCATCCGCGGCCGGCGCCGGAGGAAATCCGCCGCTTTGCGCAACGATGCACGGCGCAGAGATGGATACAGCGGAGGAATAAGTGGGACCTGGCGCTTTCTACTGCGAGGTGCCTTGGATAGGGACGGAGGCGTCCAGGACCGGCGATCCTCTTGCGACGGCGCGTCGTCCTTGGATCGACAATCAGCGCATGCCGTATACATCGACGAGATGTGTCCCATACATGCAGGGAGAAGAAGTCAGTCCGATTCGGCGCATTCCACTCCCGCGAACGAAAGCAGCCAAGTTGTCGTTGGTGCTGGGCCGTTTGAGTGCGGTTGGCGCCGCGGAGTCGAGTCGCAAACGGCCCAGCCCATCCCCTTTTGCTTCCGTGCGCCACAGCCATTTCCGACAACGTTTTTGGCGTTGCTGAGCAACTTGTGAAGCAATTTCTCTCGATGCTAACACTAATTTCCGGTAGGAAAAAGTCGGCATCGTGGCCATTTTCAACGTCGTGGGATCGACCGATGATGGCGCTGTCGTCGCTGACATCAGACACGATGTCCGTCATCACGAGCTTCCTCAAGGTCGGGTCGATCTTGAGCCTTGGAGCTACATCCAAGACCATGCACTCCATCGTCACAGGGGCGGTCCTGTGGGAGGACCTGTGCATCCGGGACTTCCGCATCAACCCGCATTCGTTCCCCCGCACCGCGACAGGATGGTTGCAGCTGTACAAGAACATGAAAGCTCCTATCGTTTTAACGTGGGGAGAGAACGGAAACGGCCGCTTGCGACAACCAGATCAACCGTCGTGGGGCAGGGTGCGGTCGCCGACGCCGATCGATACAACCGACATTGGGCCGATTGCAGCGATGGCGTGCACGGGATGGGGCATGCACGCGCTGAATCAAAAGGGTGACGTGTGGTTTTGGGGTGCATTGGACGAATATTCCATTCAAACGACGGGGTCGAGGGTGCCGCTGCCCGAGCCGTGCCGCTCCATCTGCGGGGGCCGATCCTATGGGTGCGCGCTCGGCGACAGCGGCGCCGCGTACGTGTGGACGTCCGCGCGAAATGCGTATTCTGCGGCCAAGTTCACCGTGCAAGTGACCAACTGCACGCCCACGGAAGACTGTCGCCATGTCAAAGCCAAGGCGATCGCGGCGGGATGGAGCCACGTCGCGCTGCTCCTCGCAGACGGGTCGATCAAGACATGTCACGTCGAAACCATCCACTCGATCGCTCAGACCAAGGCGTTTTCGATTGCGTCGGACCCGCGTGACCCCATTGACCGCTTGGTCGCGGGCTGTGACTTCACCGTGGCGCTGTCCAAGCGCGGCCTCGTCTACTTGTGGCACGAAATTGGGCAACCGCCGACGTCCGAGTCCCTCCATTTCGACACAAACGACAAGCTAGGGCTGCATGGAGCCCGGTTCTCCCACATGTCTGCGCGTTTGCACCACCTCGCGCTCGTCGACGGCGCAACTGGGCGCCTACGTATGTTTGACCTGAACCGGGGTCGAGAAATCACGTCGACATGGATGGACTCGACACGGGAAATCGCCAAAGTCTCGCACGGCGACTGGCACGGCGGCGCGTTGCTCACGAACGGCCAAGTGTGGACTTGGGGCAACGGGTCGTGTGCCCTTGGTTTGGGCACGGAAACCCAACGGCAAGTGGACGAGCCGCAACAGATTCACCGTGGGCTCGAAGGGCTGTTTGTGTTTGATATTGCGTTTGGGGGATGGCATTCCGCGGCGCTGGCGTTTCGAATCTAGGCCGAGCGTCGTGCGCCATCGCGATGCCGTCGATGGCGCTCTTCTAAGATGAATGTCATCCAGTTCGACGAGAAAATGACGAGGGAGCACGGACAGGGCGCACACCCATGGCGTGACGATGACTGCCTTGCATGCTACCACGAACATGAACACCGTGTCCCGGTAAAAGAGTCGGTGAGGCCAAGTCGGAGCAGTGACGTGCTCGTCGTGCGGTGAAGTCGGTCCCGACGGCACTTGGTCCAATGGGTATTTTGTAGTGGGTGAACGAGTTCACCCTAGAGAGCTTGCGGTGGTTCAACCTCGCCGCCTGCGGGCCACGGGTTGCGCGCTCCATGTGCAAGATGGAAGCGCTGTCGACGACAATGTCGGCGGTGGTCGTGCGCTCCATCGACCACGGTGCGCTGGTCGCACATTGATTCAGCCAATCCAAGGCTTGCATTCCGTGTGCGGTTGTAACGATTGACCAATCAAACACGTCGACCATAATAGAGCATGTTAGAGATGGGTGGGCGACGGCCGCGCGGTGTTGTTTTCGTCCAGGATGGCGTCGAGGAGGTCGCTGGCCGACGGGCGCAGGTCTGGGTTGCGCTGGAGACACAAGTGGGCGAACCCGACGAGCCACTTTGGCATGGTGTTGGAGAACCGAATGGGCGCCGTGTGGTTGACGATTATGTTGATGAGCACGGCGTCCGTGACAGGCTGGCCGTTGGCATTGCGCACGTCGTGAAAAGGCGCTTGGAGCGTGTCGAGTTCGCTGAGCACCATCCCAAGCGAGTACAGATCGGCCTTGGCGCTGTAATGGCTCGATTGGAGCACTTCGGGCGCCATGTACCGATACGTGCCGACCCCCATCGTCATCGTGTCACTCGCCATGGCCGTGCGCGACAGCCCAAAATCCGACAGCTTGGTGCCTTTGACCTTGTCGAGCAAGACATTGCGCGTTTTCAAATCTCGGTGGATCACGCCCTGGCTGTGCAGGTACACCAGTCCTTGCACAATGGCCTCGACACATTTGAGCTTGGCGGCCCATGGAAACGTGTCGGCCGTGTGGGCTTTCAAGTAGTCGCGCAGGTCGCCGTTGTTCATGTACTCCAAGACGCATTGAAAATCCGCGGCAGCATCTGACGTCCATGCAACTCCGAGAAACGCGACAATATATGGCGAATCCAGCCTAGTTGAACCAAGCGATTGGGATGACGTGGTTCGCGAGTGCCACCTACCGTGCCAACAGCGTCATTTCCCTGACGAAACTCTGGACGTCCGCGGTGTGCTGCTGCCGCCGCGCAACGATCTCCTTGATCGCGACCACTTGGCCGAGACACGTGCCGCGATAGACCTGGCCAAACCCGCCTTTGCCAATGAGCTTGCCCTTGACAATATCTTGAGAGGGAATGCGGCATCCCACCAGCGCAGACAGATCCACGACGCTCGCATCCAGCGTAACGTCGTCATCGATGTGTTTGGTGTACGGGGGGGCTTCCGTTTCTGGGGTTTTCTTTTGGCGCCGAGATCGCTTGAGGTAAATGAACACGCCGACGGCGATCGCGACCACGGCGAGGGGAATGGCGACGGCGACGGTGACAGTCGTCGAAGACGACGAGCTAGATGACGACGTGTCTGTGGTTGATGGCGCTTGTTCCATCTGTGGAGGAAACGTCGAAGTGCTGGCAGCATAAGTTGGAGCGGGGACAACCGTGGACGGCCGATTGGATGGAGAGGCGGCTCCCGTCGACAAGCAAAACTCTGGCAGCGGTTGGGACAAGTCAAGTGGTTTGCAGGGCAAGGCAATCGGCGCAGGTTTGATGGATGTCGACATGAACAGCCCAAGGCACGACTGGGTTGTCGTCACGTACGCGCATTTGGACGGCGTTTCGATGAAACATTGGTATGCTTCTTGACCGTCCACACGCAACGCGGCAATCGCCGGGGTCAATCGGTCGCTGTTCTGGCATTGATACAACGATGCACTAGAAGTGGCGCCAACAACGATCGCCTGGGTACAGTTGACGTTGGTTCCAGCCCGCATGTACATGGGGCACGGAATTGTCACGAGCGACTGCGTTTGCGACAAACACTGGCTCAACGTGGTAAAGCTGGTGCATGTGATGCCATTCTGGGACGCGCACTCGAGGTCCCCCGTCGCGGTGCTGAGCTGCACGGACCGAAAGCCCAAGCTCGTCACGCCGAAGCATGTCCACACCATCGGCGGAGCGCCAGATCCAAAGTCGCGCGACATAACACACTTCCAAATTCTTATTGGTGTAAATCCGAGTTAATATCACCAATCAAAACGCGTAAACTAAAAAGGGCCAGTTCCACGTGTAGAAAAAGATGGAATTTTAGCCAATCCACGGGGCGGATTGACGTGTAAAGAAAGTTGCTGCGCGTTACAGCTGCAGCAAAAAAGTAAGAACACCCGCCGAGTCCCATTGGCGCCGTCCCGATCGAGTCGGGCCATCGCATGCAGGCACGACGGCTCAGCCTTGATGCGTGAGCCAGTCATCTAGAGCGGCCGCGATTTGGCCCATACATGGTCTTTCAAGGGGGTCGACTCGAAAGCACTGCTCGAGCAGGTCGTGGTGCATCGCAGGACACTCTTGCCACTCGTCGAAGGACAGTCGATGGCCTAGTGGTCCGCTTGGCGTTCAGTTGAAACGCTAGGTGGATCTGGTACCTTCTAGGACCAGCGCGGCGGCTTCGTGGGGCGGCAAGTCGGGGAACGGTTCCGTTCCCATCATGATTTCAAAGAGCAGCACACCAAACATGTACGTATCGGTCGCCGTCGAGAACACGTGCGGCAGCTCTAAGCTCTCAGGAGCCATCCATTTGAGCGGTCCCGCCGAGTCTCGGTCAAGCACATGGCCCTAAACACACCATCCGTTCAAGCATGGCGCATTTTTCAGTGCATGCAAGGTGACGGCACGCACGCGCCACGGCACCGCGATCGATGCCCACGCATCTTCCTTTAACGTCTAGCGTACCATGACGCGGTCCATCGGCCGCGACAATCCAAAATCGCACACTTTCACATGGAAAGTGTCGTCGACCAAACAATTTCTAGAAACCCATCAGCAAACCAACGCGACAACGACGTACCGCGCCGCAATGTCTCGGTGGACGAAATGGCCTTGGTGGATGTTCAAGATCCCATGGGCGGCATCGCGCGCAAGCAGCGTCTTCATAAACGTCGAGAATTCGTGGCGTTTGGGCGCGGTGTTGTAGACGAAACCTTCCAAGCTCCCGTTTGCCACAAACTCCATCACGATCGACAGGTCGACGCCGTCGTCGCAGGCCCCGACGAAGTCGACGATGTGCGGGTGGTGGCTCAACATTGTCAGCGCACGCACTTCGTGCTCGAATTCGGCCTTGGACACGCCGACGTCCTCCCGCAGCGTTTTCACCACGACCTGTCCATTGTCGGTCAGGTCCCCAAGGCACCACGATGGTCCACCACACGTCACTGCACGGGATCGAGTCGTCGCACCTGCTGGTTTGTCGGCAGGTACAATGCCTTGTACGCTGTGCCAAAGAAGCCCGACCCGACAGGTTCTTGAAAGACCAAGTCGTGGCGCGGAATCACGACCGACTCGACGGGCGGCGCAAGTTCTTCGAACGAGCTCGGGTACTCGACGTCGGCGGCGTCGTCGTCCATGCCACGGTGGCGCTGTCGGCCGACCATGGATGCTGGCAGCGAGAAATGAAGAATCGCGACGTGAGTCCCGACGACAATGCGGGCGCGGCACAGCGCCGACCATTCCGTCGCGTCCGGGTCCAACTCGACGTCAAAAAACACCCGCTCCATGTCGCCGAGCCTACGGCGAAAAATCACGTCGTCCACCAGTCCGTGCAAGTTGCACGAGCTGTGTACCAGTGCAGCGACTTGGACAGCTCCCCGATGCACTTCCACCCGACCGGAGGCTCCAAACGGATCGTAATCATGGCTCGAAACTCCACTTGGAGGCCTCTCGACAACCGCCCCGTTTCCATGGCATGTTGCGCCGCCGCCAGTTCGCGGACGTCGTCGGCTTGGTGAGGTAGATATGCCCAGATGAACACGCGGCACGTGGCGTTCGTCAAAGCGGGCGGACCATACGCGCTGAACTTGACTGCGCGAGTCGAGTGCAGGTGTGGCATCGACGAAACATGATGGCGCATCCTCCCACGGGGTCCTGTGGTTTGGCTAGTTAACGACGCTGACCGATCCCTGGTCTTGACGGGGCTGGAGGCGGCCGGGGCATGGGTGTGGCCGATCGAGTCCACCGTGTGGCAGTGGTGGGTCGGCAAGAGCGACGCCATGGCGGGGGACGGAAAGGCCTCGATCGACCGGGCGATGTCTCGTCCAAACGAAGCATGCGGATGTCCCTGGAACTGGATCGGCGACAGCGCTGCGTATGGAAATGGAGCGTACAGAGACGGCGGCAGGGCGCTATAGTGACCAAATGTGCTGTAGCCGGACGTAGGAGTCGAGTCGTCGCTATCGTCGGCAGCTCTGGCGACTTTTGGGGCCAGGTGTGTGGTTTTCGCACGGGATGCAGAGCGGTGGGCTCGCGGCGGCACCATGACGTACTACCACCACGCGCACGGTTGAGTTTTCTTGAGAAGGTTGTTTCTTGGACCGCACCGAGTCACCACAGCCACACAAAACATGGACCATCGACTTGCAAGTGGAGTGTAGGAGGTACCGACCGTCTCAGTAGTGGGCTGGACTGGCGGCGCAAAGGCCAGCAGCTTGGACGGAGGAGGGGCTGCAGATGCAGGTGGCGAATTAGCCATCGCCATGCACAACCACTGGCGGTGCCGGAGGTCCGCAGTCGTCAATGCACCTACCATGGATGGAGACACGTCAGCGTGATGTACGAACTGTGATCGAGATAGTACGAGGAGTGGTAAGGCAATCGAGAATGACGTGCTGGGCGCTGGACGAGAGGTGGAGAAGGGCGGTCCGGTCGATGGCGAACGACGGTGTGTCCATGTTGCATAGGATCTAGTCACGGATGGCGTTGCGAGGAAGGGCTTTGGGGAGGATGGAGTACTTCCGCCATGGGAGACGTCACCGCCGTCGCGAACGGATGGCGGCCACATGCGAGCACGTACAGCACGATCCCAAAACTGAAGCTATGGGAACCCCATCACAGCGTTTACTCGATGCAGTAGAGGAATACTCCCATGTAAGCAGTACATGTCGTGGGATTTGTCCTCGGAAGTGGCGGGGACGGACGTGATGCGCCATGGATCGAGCTGCACTGGCACGTGAAGCACGAGGTGTTCGTGTGGGTGAACCTGCGGGCACGCGTTGAAGTCACACATCGAGGAGAGAGATCGCATACAAAGAGATTGCCGAGGGTCAGGTTGCCGTGGACTATTCCCTTGGCATGAAGGGCATGCAAGGCGTTGAGGAGACCGACGGCCCGACGTCGCAGCTAGTGTAGGCAATGGAATCGAGCGGGAGATGGTGTCGAGAGCGGCTCCGCACGCACCTGGGCTTCGGTGTATCCGTGTAGGTACATGACTTCCTGTAGCAGAGGTTGCGCAGTCGACGCGGCGGATTGCACGGTCTGCACCACGCACACTGTCAAGTTGTTCTTGTCAAACATCCCAACAACCGATTGAACATGTGGGTGCTTGATGTCTCGGAGGCATTCGAGTCGTCGCCACGCGTTCCTACCATGCTCGTCATGATCGACAAGTCCGCAGCATACATGCATAAGGACTGTACTCGTGCAAGGGCTTTGCGATGGTTGTCAGCAGCACTTCCGCTCCATCGTGTGCTGCGTCCAGCGCGTGGTTTTCGATAGCCCCGAGTGCGATGAACCTGTCCTCGGGAAACGGGAGAATCGACGACGACCGATTGCTCGAGGCGAGAGAAGCAGAGGTAGGATGCACAGGGAATGGCACTGTCCATGGCGCACGCATGTCCGAGTCCAGCCGGAGGTTCCTGCGTGGTGGTGCAATCACCATCGGTCAAGTGACAAGCAACGACCGTCATTCTACCCACCTGGCTATAAGAACATATACTGCAGGCGATCGAACGTTTGAGTTGTAAATTCGACGGTGTCCTCGAGAGAGAGCTCTTAAACCCAAGGACAAGGCCACATACATTCCTTCGAGACGGTTTCAACCTGCAGCGACAGCGCTCCTGGCGGTGGCGCAGGGCAGATGCATGTGGTCGGGGGAGAGACCGAACTACCTTTAGCGAGATAGAAGATGGTACTCGACCGGGAGGGAGCCGTGTGCTGATATTGCAGGAGGTCACCGACGAGTGTGGATCATACAGTAGCATGAACGCGAACAAGATGACTCGTCACGTCATTCGATTGTTCCCGTGGACACGTTTTAGACTTGCATTTGCTCGCGCAAGAGGCTTGCAATTTCAGCGGACGATGGTCGGTGCGTCGGATCGCGAGACACACAGCGCTGTCCAAGTGCCGCAAGCCAAGGTGGCATCGCATGGGAGAAGGGAATGTCCACAGCGTCCGAGACAAGCAGGCCGACGATAGTGACGTCAGCCAAGGCCTTTCCAGTCGCGGGGTCTTTTAAATGCACGAATGGGATGTCGTGCGTGTCGAATTCTGTTAGCACCATGCCTACGCATCAAATGATGTCCTGTCCACTCCATCCGTAGTGAAGCGTACCAAACGAGTAGACGTCGGCGGCGGTGGTGTAGCGATGCGAGAGCAGCACCTCCGGTGCCATCCATCGATATGTACCGACACCGGCCGTCATCGTCGATGTCGTTTCTTCTCGCGATCCGCCAAAATCGGTCAGTTTCGTGCCCTTGAACGTATCGAGCAGGACATTTCTCGACTTGAGGTCGCGGTGGATGATCGGGAACGAGTGGAGGTACACCAACCCTTCAACGATGCTTTGAATGCAAAGAAGCTTCTCCGTCCACGGGAACTCGTCCGGTGCATGCGTCGACAGCACTTCCTTCAGGTCGCCTCGATTCATGTACTCGATGACGCACTGGAGATCCCTGGCGTTGTCGTCGGCCCAACTCGCGCCAACAAACTCGACGATGAACGGCGAGTGCAACCTACGGAGAATGTTGGTGTTTCCGCTGTTTAAACTCGAAATGGATCAACATTCTTCAATCGAATGGCCGTTTTTCGTACATGGCGAGGATTTGAATTTCGTCAGCAAAGGCGGCGACCTCCCGCCGCGTCGGGTGGTTCCGTAGCAGCGTCTTGACCGCAACTTCTTGGCCACAGAACCTGCCGAGGTACACGTCTGCGAACCCGCCGGACCCAAGCATCGACGTGATTGCGATGTCGTGGGCGGCAATGCGGTACACTTCCAGGGACGACAGATTCAACGGTGGCGCGGGCGTTGTTTCCATCATCTGTGCATACTGAGGCAAGCCGTCGTCGTTGTCGTGGAAAGATGCAGCCATGTTGCTTCGACGCCGGTACAGGAGAAACCCAATCCAGGCGGCCAACACGGCAATCGCGACGGATATGGAAACGATCAGGACTGTGGCTTCGTCGGTCCATCCACCGGGTGATGCTGTGGGTGGTAGCGTAGATTGCGCGGTCATGTTCGCAGGGATCATCGTTGTGGGCAACACGGAGAAGATTATTGGAATGTCGAGGTGCCTGGAGAGGGGACTGTATTTGTCGAACACTATCTTTGAACGCAACTTCTCCGGAACTTCATGCCGCCGCAAGGTGGTTGTGTCGTCCAGAGCAGTCAGCCACGACGTGCACTCGGCGTCCGATGAGTAGATTGCACATGTGTCTTCGCGACGATCCCAAACACAGTCCAAATGGCCGTTCGTATCGTTGCCACTGATCACGAGGAATGTCCCTCCTTGAGTGGACAAGATATTTTGGCATCGAAACACGCGTGGATGATGGAGAGCCTTCCACGCAGACGTACACCACTGTCGAGAGTTGCTGCTCGTCGTTGCTCGCTGCCGCTTGAAACTAGATCCACGATCACCACCGCCGCTGCATACAAGTCTCTCGTGCGTCGACAAAGACCGCCGGCGCATCTCACAGTCGGCGGGCAGGGTCCACATGCAGTCGTCATCATGTGTAACCGATGCAAGGCACACTGCATCCCCAGACACAGAGTCCATTCGTACGGGTGTATACATGCCACGGTCCCCCTCCATGCATGCCGTCCATCTACCGTCGGCATTTGTCCTCATCTTGCAGACTGACAGCACGGGTGGATGATCTAGGTCATGCGGTCGACATATCCATACGTGACACCCTCGTGACGAGCCGAGAACCCTCCGGATATCCCGACGAAAACATGGTTACGTTTCCGGATAGCCCGCCTCTCCCGTCGGAAGGAACATGGAACACGACGCGGATGGGACGGCAGGTACCCGATGCGTCTTGGTGGATGCTGCCTCGCGACTGCGTCCCCGTGCTGGCGGTATTGGGTTGAATTCCATCGTGACGGAGCGCGCCGCGCGCTCCCAACGGGAAACAGTACGTTGTAGTCGTCTATAGAGTACAACCTTTCTCAGATGCATAGACGACCAACGGTGCAGAGTGCGGGAAGCATCGTCTGAGGGGGACACATTGTCGCGTGCTTTGCTAGCCTCTACCACACGCCATGTTCAGCTGAAAAAATCCAGGTGCGGTCGCGAATAGCACCACAGGTACTGTTGTCGCCGCAGTCGTGCAAGAAATAGGCTGATATTGTGTGGTACTGTAGTTGCACTCGTTCAGCGACTGCGTTGCTCGGAGTGGTTCAGAAATTGCTGGATTTATTCATGATGTGACTTTATGTGCCTTACACTCATCCTCGTGCGCAGTTGTTGTCTATGTGAACGTCTACGTGTTGCGCGCCCTGGATGCCGCGGCAATCGTCCTACCATCGTGAAGGTGGTTCGTAGTCTCCGTCCGTCAGGCGTCGTTGTGCAAATGGATTGAAGTGCTGCCTGTCTGACATGGTCGAGGAAGGGGCTGTGTGGTGCGGGGAATAGAGCGGCGGGAGCGGTGGCCGAGTGCCCCACGACGTTGCGTTCGAGTCTTCGTAGTGTGGTGGTATCGGCGTAAAGTGCATTGGCGGCGGCGGGTGGCACCAATTGCCCGAGGCCGATTGGGCGAACGACGAGTCGTCCTGCATTTGTACTAAAATCTCGGACACTTCGCGCTCAACATCTTGTAGCGTCGATGGCGATGAAGGAGACATCAGAACTATTTTCGGCTTCTTTGACGACGTCGGTTTGCTGCGCGAGATGTACTCGTCCAAGTCGAGCGACCGAATTGCACGCGAGACCCACGCACGCTGGCTGCGGATCTTCTTGTCTGTGAACCCGTCGATGTGCAAGGAACAATACCGGATAGCGTCGTTGATACTCCTCGGCTTGCCGCTCGCAAAGCTCTCCTCAAGCCACGTCCCCAGCACATGCTTGTGGATCTGCTTCGGGTGCACCCGCTCCAGCATCGTGTTTGTCGGTGATCTTGACAATGTAGACCTCTATATCTTCATGCATCAACTTGTCCCAGGTCTACGTAAAACTGTGAAATTCAATAAACGCATCCCCTTTTTCCCCCACATCGCGACTTTTGACGAATCCCCCCAACGTACACTCAATTCGATTCGACATCGGTGGTCATGCGACACCAGCAAGTGGTCCGCATTCCGGCGGCCGTCGAGGGCGTGGTTGGGACGCCCCTCTATGCAATCAGCATGGACGGCGGGTGAACTTGGAGCGCCAAGACCATTGAAACAACTCTAGTCCTGGAGAATGAACACTGCACATCATGCTGCAGTGAATTTAGAGCTCTATTGCAAGCGGAAGTAAACTCTGCGCAGCGCAGTAGACGTGGTAGGACGGATTCTTGGCATCGGATGTCGTCCGTGATCGGCGTATCGGCCAGCGCAACACAAGTCCCTCATGAGCTTTGACCAAGTGCTTCAAGTGGTTTGAATGCCACGGCGTTGGGAATTCCGGATAACGAAGGGAGGTTCGGATAACACTGCACGACGACCCCACCCACACTCGGAGGGTGAGCAGGATGCGCGGGTACATGGGTGAAGAGGTGGAGATCCGCGATGTGTGGGCAAGCAACCTTGACGAAGAGATGAAGAAGGTCCGCCAAATTGTGCGCCGCAAGTGCTACGTCGCAATGGACACGGAGTTTCCGGGGGTTGTGGCTCGTCCGATTGGATCGTTCACCACGACCACGGAGTACCAGTATCAAACCTTACGTTGCAATGTGGATCTGTTGCGGATCATTCAGCTCGGCCTTGCGTTCTTCCATGAAGACGGGACGGTCATGAGGGACTGCCCAGTTTGGCAATTCAATTTTAAGTTCAGCCTCAACGAAGACATGTACGCCGAGAACTCGATTGAGTTGCTCAAGCAGTCGGGCATCGACTTCGCTAAGCACGAAGAGTGTGGTATCGAAGTAACTCGCTTCGGGTACGTCCATGACGGCTCCTTGCGTAGATGAGACTTGTGCTTATTCTCCACGGTAGCGAGCTGCTCGTCCCGTCCGGCCTCGTCCTTGAACCGAACATCAAGTGGTTGAACTTTCAAGGATCGTACGACTTTGGTTATCTGCTCAAGATCTTGACGTGCGCGCCGCTTCCGTCCGATGAAGACTCGTTCTTTGAGCTGTTTCAGCTCTACTTTCCGTCTTCGTACGATCTGAAGTACCTCGCGTTTGACTACGACAAGATGGGCGGCCTGAGCCGCTTGGCCGAAGACCTTCAAGTCGAACGCATTGGGACCATGCATCAAGCGGGGTCGGATGCACTGCTGACGGCGGGCGTGTTCTTCAAGATGCTGGACCTGTACTGCGAAGGGAAGGTTGAAAATGCCAGCAAGTATGCCGGGCACTTGTACGGGCTCGGCACAACCCTGGCGCTTTTGGGGTAATGCCAAGCTCATGTCGAGTCACATTTGTTGTGTTGTTTTGAACTTGCCGTCCATTGGATAAAATCATGACATTTCAGTCAATCAAAATGTAGCCATTTAGGAATCGATGTATGAGTGGATAAAACAAAATTATGTGGCGAATCAAAATGCTTCATGATGACACAAAAATGCCAAAAAGTCGTTTCTATTCCTGAAGAATAAAGTCCAAGAGCGGCGCAATGGCTTCGGCGGAATGGATCGAGTACGATTCAAACACGACCTCGCAAGGGGCGTCGACGTCAAATGCAAACGGAACGTTCTCGCGGCCAAGTGGAATGGACTCGTCGTCGTCGTGCGCTTCAAGGGACGCCCGCGTGCTCTTCAATTGAGACCTACCATGTTGTCAGACAACACCGCTCGAGTACCATTATGAACGTACAACTCCGTTTCTAGGAGGGATTGAATGTGCGAGGGCGTGGCGGCGGTCGCTACATCAGCCTTGCTGCACGCAACGAGGAGTGGAATGCCGTTATCGTGGACTTTGGGGTGGACGAAGATGTCATACAAAAATCTATCATGACGATCAGTGCAACGAAGCGGAATCGCAGACGTACTCAGCAGCTTTACGAACTTGCGCGGCGTCACCGACCGTCGTGGCGTCGACCACAAACACAAGCTTCTTCGCAATGGGGTAGAACTGCGACACTTGACTTCGCAGCCGCTCATGCCCTGGAAAGTCCAACACGGACACAGTCGCGGCCTCTTCATCAAACAATGGAAAAGTTTCCAGCGTTTCCTTCATTGATGTCACCGTGTCCACCTTCGACGGCCCATCGCGCAAGCGATGAAACAACGCAGTCTTGCCACCACCACACGGTCCCAGCAACAGAATCACATCGCGCTTTCCTCCAGGGCTGCTTCCAGATGCAGCTAGCTTGATGATGAATGCAAGAAGGAGCACGAGCACTGCCCCTGCGACGACATACACTGCATACAGGTTGCGGTCCTCTTCGTCCTTCGACATGTTGGGTTTCCGTGAATTGACGTGGAGCAAAATTCGTAGATTTTCCTGTGACAACTAATATCTCAACACTTCGCTCAAAATCCCTCTATATGATGTTTTTTGCACATTTCCAAACAAAAGCAAAAAATTGAATATCTGCTCGTCTGAGATGTCGCATCCAAGGAACCTGAACACTGCAAAATATGTCGAAAATATCAGTCAATTACGTCTGGATTTCGCGATAAATTTCATCTTGTCGAAAAGTCAAACGAAGCCTTTGAATATCAATAAGTTCAACCTCTACGTTTGAATATATGGTGTAGGCAATTCCCAACCATCAACGCACAACAAGGATCCCATCAAGATGAAGGTCCGCTCGTCCGTGAAGAAGATGTGCGACTCGTGCAAGACCGTTCGCCGCCGCGGCAAAGTGTACGTGATCTGTGACAAGAGTCCCAAGCACAAGCAGCGCCAGGGATTCCACACCGTCGCGACTCCCGCGGTCGTGAACACTGCCCCGGTTGTCGCATCGCCCAACACGAACTTCCGCGCGATGATGTTGCGCGCGCAATACCCTGGTTTGTCGTCGTTCCAATCGTTCCGCGACGCTGCCGCTAAGCCATTGTTCTAGTGCAATCAATAGATGAACCTTGTAGATTCTTGCGACCTCATCCCGCTTGTGTTGGCCACCATTGTATGCGACAGACAACACGACGTTTTGTTTTCAAACAATGCTTTGAATATCGCCTTTTGATCTGGTGGATTTTGTTGCGCCCGACACACAGGGTCGGATATGCCTCGCTGTGGCCCCGCAGCACATTACGTTTCATGCAGTAGAGCACTTTCGTTCCCACTTAATGCCAATCACACCACCGCAACCTTGATATGATTTAATGGAAGTCTTCGAGGTGGACTTCAAAGATCAAAGTGGCGTTGGGAGGGATCACGCCTGGGACGCCGCGAGCACCATAGCCGTAGTCGCCCGAGATCGTCAAGACGGCCTTTTCGCCCTTGGACATTTGCGCAACGCCTTCGTCCCAGCCTGTAGATGTAACATGGAGTCACACCACGAGTAGACAAAAACTATTCAGTGTACCTTGAATGACGCGGCCAACACCAAGGGGGAATTGGAACGGGCGGTTCTTCTTGTACGACGAGTCAAACTCAGTTCCGTCTTCCAGCTGCCATTGCGATGAGAATCCTCGTATGCATACTCTCACGTGCACCACCATCGATTACCTTGCCAGTGTAGTGCATCACGCACGTCTGGCCTTGCTTGGGGCGTTCGCCGTTGCCTGCTTGCGTGGTCGCGACTTGGACTCCCATCGTTCTGAGATGACTCACCACGGCCGAGACTTGGGCATCTAGATCCGGTCATTATATTTAACTTGAGTTTAGTATTGAAACGCACAATTTATTTTTGAATAGTGTTTTGGTTGAATGGCCGACAACACTTAAATGAGCTTGTCTAAAATGGAATATTCTGCTGTGATAGATGAATTCCATTTACATTGGCAATCCTTCGACTGCCGAGGTTTCGTGGTTCTGTGCACATTTTCCAGTTCACCATCGCGCCAGATCGCGCGCCACCACCACGCGCTACTCCTCCACCGACGCATCTGCCCGTTCTTCAGCTGCTGCTAGGCTCGTGCGTCGTTGGTGGTCCAACGAATTACTGCATCCATGCCGGGCGGCGCACAAAGTACTGTTGCACGACTGCTGCGAGCACCAATTCTCGGTTGACCAGGGAACGCTGTTGGATTTCTTGGAATTGAAGTGTTACGGTGGCGAAGTGGACGATCGTTATCGCCGTTCGCGCGACAAAGGAATGATTTGCGCGTTAGCTCCATATAGCATCTCGAATTGCGTCCATGTCACTCCAGCAGCACGCGGAGAGAGTCAACGTCAATCGCTTTTCAGCAAAAGTGGAGCCTGCAAAGTAGAGCAATTTACTCATCCACGAGTCGAACGCAATGACGTCGCCGTCCAACATAGATGCCACGGCGCATTTGGCTGCGACGTTGACGTCGTGCACGAAAAAGGGCAACTTGAACATGATGGAATTGGCCGACCCGGTCGTCGTTGCAAACTGGGTACGAAGCGGGCCTGCATCATCGAGTTTCACCAGCTTACAGCACGAAATACGAGTAATTGAACTTACCTGGACAGAAAGCCGTGACCCCCACTTGGCCTCGACATTCAAAGGCCAACCCTTGACTCAAACGCAGCATAAATGCCTTGGACGCGGCGTACATTGCCGCCAACGGCATGGCATTTGCGCCAGAGATTGAAGAGATGTTTAATATACGACCCGATTTGCGCGCGAGCATGGAGGGAAGCACGAGGTGGCACAACGATGTAACAGAGAGAACGTTCAACTGCATCATGTCCGTGATCGTGGTCGAAGACAACGTGGAAAAGACGCCACGTTGGGTGCCGCCTGCGCAGTTGACGAGGATATCGATCTCGAGCTTCAAGGACGCGACAAAATCGACGATAGTGGGCGGTCCTGCTGGGGTACCCAGGTCAGTCACACACACGTGCACGTGGACATCCCACACGTCGTGAATCTCGACGGCAATACGCTCCAATCTTTCCTTCGACCGACCAACTAGAACAAGGTGAAATCCCTTCTCCCCGAGGAGGTACGCGATTTCCCGACCCAGTCCAGACGATGCACCCGTGACAACTGCGACGCCATCCACACGAGGCGCAATCGCTTCGAGTTGTCGACTGTGGTAGCGAAGTAGGCATTCGTCAGCCACAAATATGGCAAAAAGGACTAAAAGCACCGCAAATAGGATGTCCTCGACTGTCGCGGCCGCTAGGAGGTGCAGCGACAGCGCCAGCGTCACGGCCCCCAGAAGATGGATTCCCCACATCGTTTTTCGACTTGGAAGCAGCTACGGATAACATGTTTTTATCCGTACAACCTCAAGCCGCTCACAACAAATGAAAGGAGTGCCGAGCTGGCGGCCACAAGCAGTTTGTGTGCTCCATGGCTGGCCAGCTAGATCACACTTGTTGACCGCCCTTCTATGCGTAGTTTAAAAGCTCTCTATTCCATGTGCTTGGTGAGCCATGGAAGCTGCATGATGATAGCGTTGCGTCATTTGGACGAAGGACGCGACCGCAGGTGGACCATCACAACAAGCGCGACGTCAGCACGGTAACCTTGCTCATGACAAGCCCGCCCAAGAAGATCACACCCATGAGTGCAAAGTAGGCAAACACGGAGATCATGGTCTGCTGCGTCGGTGTCTGGTTGTCGTTGTACAGGTGGTCCGTCACCACTCCACGGTTCTGCCACGCATAGTTGGCCATAATGGACGTCGCACACACCAGAAAGACACGAACCACCTTGGGCATCGCGACATCGCTTTCGGTGACTTTCTCCTCGGAAGCTGTCGGCTTGACCACGTCCTTGGCATCGGAGGTTTCGGCTGCGCCGCGGCGTGCGCGCTTGGTTGTCGCCATGATGTCGGTCAGGGGCGACAATATCGAATGTTCAAGGTTGACGCAATATCAATTGTCAGAGGAATTTTATTTAAATGCACGTATATTTATTTATTCAAAAAGTAGTAACCTCGAAAAAAGACCACGGCCATGCGCCAGGTGGAAGAAGACGAGATTCGAGGAATTCGATGCAGCATGCGTTGACAGGTTGAATTCGCCTGAGCTTTATGGTGTCAGCGCAGCCAAGACGTCGGCTGTCTTCAAGACAGTGGCGAATTCGTTGTGTAGCACTCCAAGGGAGATCTCGTGGACGGTTTCCGCGTCAAAGTTGGGGGTCTGCAGTTTGCTTCCCGGTGCGGTGGTGTGCTCGAACATTGCAGTGGCGTCGCAAGGCAAGTAGACGGTGAACCCCAAGTTGCCAGCCATGCGCACAGTGGTGCTGACGCAATGGGAAGTCGTGAGGCCAACGACGACAAGGACATTCCACTTGTTCGCACGAAGAAGCGACTCCAACGGCGTCCCGATGAACGACGAGTTCACGTGCTTGATCAAGACGTGCTCGCCTTCGATGGGCTCGGCAAACGATTGCGGCAGGACGCC